TTAATTATAAAGAGTTAAGCGAATAAATTAATTAAATAAAAATATGCTTAATTAAGCGATAAAATTCGAGGTTAAAAATTTAGATAATAAGAATAAATATAATTAGCTTTAGTAATATAGACGAAATAATAAATCTTCTAATTATTATTCTAATTATAATCTTATCTTTAATCTTTATAAAGCTTCTTTTAATAATTTAGCGAATCTTTTAATTCTAAAATAATAAAAGAAATTAAAATCTAAATACGCTATAGTTACTTAAATAACTTATAATATTCTTTATTTTCTCGCAGAGACTATTATATATAAGCGATATTTCTTAATAACTAAAAGATATTATAATACTTAGAAGTATTATTTATTAATAATATTTTATACTCTAATAATAATTCTTTATATAAAGTATTAAGAAAATAAGTTTAAATAGATTAGACTTAATTTTAAAGAAGATCTTAGTATATTAAATTAGATTAAAAGAGCTAATAGTACTTTATATAAAAATTTAATTAATAATTATAATAATTATATTAGCGAAGATAACGAGTTTATAAAAAGTACTTTAATAAGTCTAATATTTATAAGTTTATTAAGATATATCGTTAATACTCTATAATATATAGAGAGATAATCGATAAATTTATAATTAAAGAGAATTAATAATAATAGATCTAGTTTTAATAAAAAGATCTAAAATAACTCGAAAAGCGAATTTATTTATAAATAATTAATAAGTTTAATTAGATAAAAATAAATTTAAGATATTTAAAAGAATCGCGATAAAGTAGAATAGAAGAGTAAGTTAGAGTTTAAGAGAAGAATAAATATAAAGTTTATTAAGCTTATCTAACGCGTTAAAATAAATATATAAATAAAGATAATTATAGAATTTTATTCTTATAATATTTAAAGATTTAAAATTTAGAATATTCTTTTATATTATAATTTTAAGAAGAAGAATAGAGACGCTTATAATTCTAATTATTATTCTAATTATTATTATTAATAAAAAGATAAATAGCTATATTAGATTATTCTTTATATTCTCTCTCTCTTAATAAAGAAGAATAAATATATTCTATATATCTCAGTCGAATTATTCTATAAATATAGAAATCTCAGTAAGAATATTTTATATATATATTATTTCATAATATAATTTTATAGATATATCATACCGTAAAATATCCCGCCAAGATCCCGAACCCATATTAGAAAAATGGTATGATATCCGACCCTACTTATATCATATTCGGGTACGATATAATATTACTTAATATGGAATATTTCATGAGATATATTATATCTTTCCGGCCAGTAGCTATAAGTTATTATTATTTATAAGATATTTCTTAATATTTCTTAGAGATATAGACTTATAATTAGAAAGGGCTATAAAAATAAAGTAAAGTCGAGTATATATTTATAGCTTAGTATTTAAATTATTTCTTAAATAAATTTCGTTATAATTAAGTATAAAATCGAGTTTAATAAATTTTATATAAAATCTATTAAAGAGCTAGATTATTTATTAAAAGAAATTATATTCGCGTTTTATCTTTTTACGATAATTTATCTCTTTATAGATCTTAGCTAGCTAGTTTATAACCTCGCTAACTAATATATAAAAGTTTATAATATTTTTACGTCTTCTATTTAGAGTATAAGAGATTACTTCTCTATCTATACGTAATAAAAGATAGATAATTCGAGATATCTCGATAAGATAATAATTCTTATTATCTAATAACTTTTCCTTTATTTTAACTAACTAATTCTCTTATATAGAGTTTTTATTATTAATAAAGAAGAGAGAATTCGATAGTTTAATAAACTTCTCTTTCTTATAAATAAAGTGTAAAACTTAGATAAGCTTTATTAAGATTAACGCTTATATCTTAGAAATAATTTATAAATTCTTAAATATATCTAATCGCATTATCATTAGCTATTATCGAAGCTCTCTATTCTATTCTTATAGCTCCTCAATCTTAATACTAACTTACTCTAAGCGTTATTAAGCCTCATCTCATTAATTTACTATCTTATCCTTCTTAGTCTTAAAATTAATATATTATTTAGCTATATCTCGAAATTAATCTTATTAATAGCGAAGATTACGAAGTATAGTAAGAAATTAATTAAGCTTCTTATCGACTTAATTACGTAATTAGTTAATATTAATAATCTATTATAAATCTATAGCAGTCGCGATATCCTCCGCTATATCGTTAAATAATAAAAACTATTATTAATTAAATATCTAAGTAAGAAGGTTGCTAACTCGATTTATCTTACTTAATTATATATTAAAAATAATAGTTTTAAAATAAAGATAAGAGAGTTATATTATTTCTTCTAATTTTTTAATATTATAAATACTAAGCGAAGAAGAGAAAAGAAAAACTTCTTATAATATCTTTTATAAGGCTTTACTATAAATTCGAAAAATAATATTATATTTTACGAGGACTTTTTTCTCTAATTTATAAACTATTTAGATTATTATAAAAACTATAAATAATCTAAATATCGTTCTTTTAAATACTTTTACTTCGCTTAAAAAATTAATTATATAATTATTAAGTTAAATAATAATTTCTTTAGATTTACTAGTTATATAAATAAACTAATTTAATAATTACTTTATTTCTCTAACTAATTATAAGATCGTTACGCTATCTCGATAAATACTCTTTATAATATATTATCTATATAATAGATTTATCTAGAAATACGATAACTTAACTTAATATCTTATTAAAGCCTCTATTAATAGATTTCTTAAATTCGTCTATTAATTCGAATATAGTAAGTAAGATAATCTAGTTATAGTATTAGAATCGATATAGATATAATATTAATATAAATATATTAAATAAGATAATTAGATATCGAATAGCTATATAGATAAAAGATATTAGATAATAGTAGATAACTCTACTAAGATACGCTAGGCTCTAATAGGCTATAGAGTTAAATAATATATTAAGAAAGATATAGAATACGATCGTAATAATTAATTTAGACTATCGAAGATCTAAGTAAATACTCGAGATAGATTTATATAATATAAATAGTATAGATTATTAATTCGCTAAAGTATCTCGAAGTAGTAATAGAATTATACTAAATTTCGATATATATTAATATTAATAATAATAAATAGGCGGATAAGAAGGCGAAGAAGATTACTAGCTAGCGAGAGTAAGTAATTTATAATAAAAGAGTAAAGATAAATACTAACGAAATAGTCTAATTATTAATTATATAGATAAGAATAATATTAACGATTAAAATAGCTATTAAAGACTACGCGATGAAATAATAAACTATTAAATAGATTAATAAGAAGCGAGGCGATATTCTTAGAAGAATTTAATTAATATCGTCGAAATAAATATAATTTCTATATTCGAGAGTTAAGCGCGCTAAAACGTCGCTAATAACGTAAATAAAGATCGAGAAAATAAATCTTAAGATCTTTCTTTATAATCGATAAATATCGGATATAGAGAATAAAGAATATAAGTATAGAGCGAAGTAGACGACTCAATATATTCTTTACGAATATAGATTATTTAATAAGAAGCGAGGAATATAATAAGTCGAAGAAAGAAGAAAGATAAAAGAGGAGGTTATTACTTATAAGAATATATTAATAAAATTACGCTACGCCTCTATAGCGGCGAACTTTATAAGAAGTACTAGACTTATTAAGTAATATTAAGCCCTTAATAAAAATTAATAATAAGAATTTACTAGAATAGACGATTAAAAAGAAGAATACGGTTAAGACGAGAGAGTCTTAGCGATATAGAGTATACCTCTTTTTAAGGATTAAGTATAATAAAACGTAGAATTATAATAATAACTTATATAGTCTTATTTATTTGAGATTATATAATTAGTTAAAAGGATTAGATAGATTACGTAACTCGCATAGTCGGCCACTAGGGTAAGACTTTAGGGTAGTATGATGTAATCAATCAATCAATCTCTCCTACACACACGAACGTTGTCCTTGTTCCACCACATTTCTCATTTTGCCCCATGAACAGCAGATGTAGAAGGGGCAATGCCTCCACATTGGCACCAATGAAAGGGCCTCTTCCCGCTTAAACGCGCTTTCTGCTGCTCATCTACTCATGGACTTCAGATGCTTTTTGGGTCGATACCCGTTGATTCGACATTATTGAGGACGCAGCTTCCCTCCTCAACGCTCTGCTTGCAAACCTGCATTGACGAACAGCACAAGCGTTTGGGCCCATATCCATGAATCGGCGCCAACAAAGATGCTTCTTCCCCTGCTAGATCATCATTTGTACAGCACGTTTACTCATGAACAGGAAATATCTCCGGGTTGATACCTACAAGGCCATAAATTATGTGTGCTTTCCGAGGAAGCTTTACCCAATTGCTCTGTGTAAGGCGAGACTTGCCGTAGTGATCAATGTGAAACGAGGACCAGGCCGGCCTTACAAGGATATTTTGGTCCTGTAACGGTTAGCACCTAAGATCCAGACCCTTCGGCTCCTGAACCTCTGCGACATCGACGCAGCATGGTCCCTCTGATGACTACCAACGGCAACAGCATCGAAGTGCAGTCGACCATCGATACTTCTCCCGTTGGTCCATCCGTGTCTAGAGTAGACGCTGGCAGTATGGACCAGTACCATGCTTTCTCTTGCGTTGGCATTGCCAACGAGCCAACATCATGAGGCTGAGTCGCGATACGAGGATACTAGGTGACTCGCGATTCTTACTCTGAGAATCTTTTGTCGGCATCTAAAAATGGCTGAGAGGCTTTGCTCCCAATCATACATAAGAGACTTCCAGCTCGCACCTTCCTCCCATCCCAAAACACCGAGCTTTTCAAAACCATTGACAGTCTCCTAGCCTTCACCCTCTATATCCACCAACTGAGAACATCGCTACCACTCATTTCTACAGTAAACCACCACAATCTCCCTCAGACCAACCTCCTCAAACCAACCACAACCATGCTCTTTACCCGTACCCTCATCATTTCCACCCTTACCCTCCTCGCCAACACACAAACCGCGACCACAGACGCAGCGAACCCGACCATCACACCCGCCGCCCTCCCCACCCAGGTCATCGCTTCGATCGAAAATTACTACTCCTCCCTCGAAAAGCAACCAGAATTCAGCTCCGCCATCCAAGCGCTCACATCCGCCATGCCAGCCTCCATACTCAACCAGATCGAGAACGACCCAACGGACTACTTGAGCTCCGTTTTGGGAGCCGGGGCACAACCAAGCTGGATCAGTGCGCTGCCGACCAGCTACATTAATTACTTCTCGAGCATTGGGGCTGCGGAGGCGAGCATTATCACTCAGACCGCTGCGGGGCCGGCGCCGACGAATGGCCCGCGGGTGAAGGTTGTTGGGGCTGCGTTGGCGATGGGGGCTGCTGGGCTTGCGCTGCTGTGAGGAGTCTGATACTACTGCCATTGGGGTATTTGAACTGTGCTGATGCATTGATTTGGTTGTGGGTGGCATGCTGTACTAGTACTGGTATCCTTAGCTTTCGCGCTCTTATTTTGCTTTCTCCAATGTATCACGATTGAACAGACCATACATTCGTCTTCTCATAATCCTAACATAGGTGTTCTTGCACGCCTTGACGACTCTATCCCCCAAACGTCCACCTCCCTTCGCCAGGTCCATCCATCCCGTAACCCCCCCCCCCCCCCTCTCTCAACCATCCCTCAAACTCCTCGTCAAATTCCCCACACTCGCCAACCCCCTCGCACTATACCCCCCACCCTCCACGGCCCCCAAAAAATCCCCAGACCGCCCCATCGCCAGATCCAACACCTGCCCCAACCGCGTCCGCAGCGCCACCTGCCACTGCGGCCCCGACAAGGAGCTCCTCTCGCCCCGGCCCCTCGCGTTCCCGTACGCGGGCTCCGGCCTCCCCGTCGGCAGCGCGAGCAGTCGGACCAAGGCGGCGTCGGCGACGGTGCTGGTGTTGAGGCCGTATTTGGGGATGAGGGTCGTGAGGAGGGAGGTTGCGGTGTTGGGGGTGCGAGGGTGGACGGCGGCGAGGATGGCTTTGGTGGAGGTGTCGGCGGCGAGGGCGGCGGACCAGGTCGCGATGTGGTGCTGGAGGGCGTAGAGGTTCCAGGCGCCGTACCATTCCTCGGCGGATTCTGCCGTGGCGTTTGACGTGGCGTTTGACGCCGTTGGCTCAGGGCACAGTGCCGAGCTTAGCGACAACGAGGTGCAGTTGTATTGCTCGCAGGTCTTGGTGTCGTTGGTGAGGGTGGTGCAGTTTGGACCCGGCTTTCCGTATATCGAACGCAGGAAGCATGTCGACCAGAGCTCGTCCGGGGCGCAGATTTCTGGGGATGTCAGGTTCCAGTTTGTGAGGTAGGCTGTTTCTTGCAGCTTAGTATAGCAGTAGGGGCTAGGGGCATTGTTGGTGAGGTTTGTGCACGAGGGGATGTGGGCTGTCACGTTGGCGTTGGAAGAGACGTTGAGACCAGGAGAGACGACGACAGGGATTCCATTTGCGAGGGTATGGGTCGATAAGGCGAGGAGGGCTGTGAGTGAGGGAAGGTTGACAATGAACATGCTGATACCATATAGGTTGGGAGAGGATTGGGGGGGGGAGTTTTCACAAATACGTGCACTCTGTGTATGAAGACAAAGTGGGGGCTAAACGGTTGTATATAAGCTCAGACGAAAGCTGGAATAGTGCGCGTCAAGATTGTGGTAAGACCATGTTGACGGAAGGAGTCTTACCACGAATCATTGCTGCGCATGAGCTGAGAGGACTGGCGCATTGGCGACAACAGCGATTAAGGATGAAACACTCGCTTGCCCGGGCACAATTTTCAGAAATAGACAAATGGCCGAGAACATACGATGATGGATGGTAGGCCTCTGCGATAGCCTTACAGATGGTTGGCGAGTATTTGACGCTGTCATCACGGAAGGATTGGCGGAGACGCATATGGTCCCACATAGCCCTCGGTAGTCAACTATGCACTATTGAAAAGGAGATGTGATACCGCTTTTGACGTCGCTAAGTGTATTGAGCACACCTTCATGTTGTTCATAGCACATAAGTCGTCAGTAATGGCCGCCTATGAACTCGGTCATACTCAACACACAGAGTTAGTATCGACCACCTGCTAGTTCCGTCTTTTCCATGATTTGCTCGATCTCCTTCAGCTCCTCGTCGCTAAGGGTCACTTCAGTTGCATTCTCAATAGCCCTCTCCTCGGTTGTAGAACCTGGTATTGGGATAACGGTGCCAAATCCTTCCTTTCCACTGTACGAGCGCACCCAAGCCAGTGCCACCTGAGCCGGTGTGCAGCCCTTTGATTTGGCCACATTTTTTATCTCCTGGCCCATTGCAGCGTTTTTCTCCATATTTCCAGGCTGGAAGCGCGGCAGATGATGTCTGATGTCGGTTTTGTCGATGTCTTCAGGCTTTGAGAATGTAGCGGTCAATAGGCCACGCCCCAAGGGAGAATAGGCTATTAATGGGATGTCCAGTTCAGCGCAGGTTTTGGCGACGCCGTTATATAGGAGGTCAGGACTTTGCAGGCTCATTTCTACTTCGACTGCTGCAATTTTGTGGAGTTTCTCAGCATTCCTGATTTGGTCTTCGGTAACCTCGCTGAGACTGATGCCACCAAGCTTGCCTTCTTTAACATATTTGGCCATGGCATTCATAGTCTCCTCCAAAGGTACATTGGGATCTTGCCGCGCAGGTTCGAAGAGATCGAGGAACTTCTTGCCGTCCAGGACTTTGAGACACTCATCAATGCTTCTCCGAATGTTCTTCTCACTGTTGTCGGGTCCCATCCTGGTGGGGGAAATGGAGCCCTTTATGCTGATTACCACCTTTTCCGCGTCTTCCGGGTACTTGGTAAAGTATCGATTGAGGAGTTGGAGGGAGTTGGCATGCGGTTTGCCATAGAGCTCGCCCCCGTTCCAGAGGTTGGCTCCCGAATCCAGGGCTGCCTTCATTGCTGCGAAAGCTTGCTCATCTGGAATAGGAGTTTCACGCCATGTGAGATCTGAGCCATGGTTCAGCTGAGTCTCGTGAAACAGATGTGGAGTTGGGGGGAAATACTCATCAATCCATAGCCGGTGCGGCCAACTTGCTTCCCATTGATTGTAGGCATTTTGATCGTTCACCTTGGATATCAGTTACAAGTGATATTAGACTCGAAGCAGATGTGGTTTATGAGCAGAGGTCATTGATACGGGTGGGAAGAAAAGCAGTTTGTAAGCACATGATTTGGCGGCGTGGGCAGATTAAAAGCTAAGTCCGAAGCCATTTTCCGGTAGTGTATGGAGTTATGGAGTATGGATGTTATTCGCGATGCGGGTCCCACGCATGCCAGTCATCATCGTACATGACATGATAAATAATTATTCTTAACCGGTAGCAAGTAAGGAAATAGACACTACATACATATGCCTTTTATCAAGCAACAGATGCCGAATCGAATTTTACGAATCAGCGTTGGGAAATTGGGCATGCCTTGCCGCTTCAACTTGCCTTCTACCAACCGGCCTAAATTAAAGGCCCTCGGCCGAGGGCGGCGTAGGTGAATGTCAATAATAACAAGTGTTTCATCATCCTCTAACGACAGACTATAACCGGTGACCGATCATCTTCATCATCTCCTTCAATGCTCTCACCTGCTTGATCATAAATAAAACAGACTCGCGCCTTCATCCTGTTTCGCGTCGGTAGCAATCAACGGTCGCGGCCGTTCGGAATCCACTCATTCTTCAACGCTCAACTAGCCAGAGTCAACATGGGCGACCCTGAAAAAGCCTTCTCCGAAAAGGAGCGCATGTCTGCAGAGATAATTAGAGATGGACCAGCGACTCCCACCCTGCCAGTCCTGCCGACTGTCAATCCAGAGATCGAGAAGAGAGAGGTCCCAGCGTCAAACTTACACCCAGCTTTCTACGTAATGTAGGTGCTCCTGAAATGGCAGCGCAGAGGACACGCGCACACATCGACAATCTACACCCTTGAGACTGACTGTTCCGCCGCAGAACATGGATCACCTTGAGCTCCAGTGTCATTCTCTTCAACAAATGGATCCTGGACACTGCCAAATTTCGTGAGTGCCTTGCCGAAGACCATTGCCTGTTGACTCCACTGACATGAAGCCTACAGATTATCGTATGTTCACCTTCAAACGCTGCCTCTTGCTCAGCTGATCCACCCTTTCCTCTCTGTAGCCATCACTCTCACATGCTGGCACCTTACGTTTGCCACCCTGATGACCCAGGTCATGGCACGCACTACAAATCTTCTCGATGGCCGTAAGACAGTCAAAATGACCGGCAGGGTCTATCTGCGAGCCATTGTACCAATTGGTGCCTTCTTCAGCTTGTCACTGATCTGCGGCAATTTGACGTACCTGTACCTTAGTGTGGCTTTCATTCAGATGTTGAAGGTTTGTCAATGGTCCCTGCACGCCGAGGCAAATGCTGTTCTGATGAGTTCCGACAGGCTACTACACCCGTTGCAGTCCTACTTATCGGATGGGCTATGGGAATCCACAAAGCCGATCTGAAAGTCCTATTCAACGTATCCTTCATCGTCCTCGGTGTTATTATCGCCTCAATCGGCGAGATTAAATTTGTCATGCTGGGAGTCATCTTTCAGCTTGGAGGCATCCTATTCGAAGCGATTAGACTGGTCATGGTGGAACGGCTATTAAGCTCCGCCGAGTACAAGATGGATCCATTGGTCTCGCTCTACTACTTCGCCCCAGTTTGCGCCATTATGAATTTCTGCACGGCTTTGGTCTTCGAAATACCACGAATCCAAATGGAGGAGCTATACCATGTGGGTTTGTGGACACTCTTGGCAAATGCAATGGTGGCATTTGCGTTGAACGTCTCAGTGGTGTTCCTGGTATGCAATCTCAATCCTATGATTTTGCATGGCCTAACATTCTCAGATTGGCAGAACATCGGGCCTGGTGATGACCCTCTGCGGCGTTCTGAAGGACATCCTGCTCGTTGGTGCCTCCATCGCCATCTGGGGCACCCCAGTCTCACCTCTTCAATACTTTGGTTATAGTATTGCCCTTGGTGGACTCGTCTACTATAAGCTTGGAGCCGCCACCATGAAAGCACAATTTTCGGAAGCTGGCCGCCTCTGGGCTGAGTTCGGTTCCAACCGTCCTGTCCTACGAAAAGTCATTGTGTTCGGTGGCATACTCACGATCCTTTTCGTACTGTTAGGAGGACTTGCACCTACTGTCGGCTACGACTCGAATTATTTGACTTCCACTATCAAAGGTGCCGACAAACCTTCGTAGATCCTATGGAATATGTATATTAGAGTGGGCCAGCGGACTCAAGAGAGAGGACGGATTTTAGCGTCATTGGGATTCTAACAATCAAGCAGGGAATTGGAGGCCTTACTACTCCGATCATACATGAGCATTTGCTATGGCGTCAATTTGGAATTGTTGATACACTGATATCAATGTACTTTAGTCCGTAGACTTTCAAAATATCAAAGCTGTTGCAGCTCAACCTGCGTGCCAACGGCTTTAGGCAGAATTGGTGACAGTCTAATACAAGACCGGCATCCAATTACAGGAAGATGATGGCAAAAAAGCAACAGAGATGTCAAAAGCAAACGACGTCATATTTCCGACTTGATGGTGTGTCACCCAGCCACACAATGAAGGCGTAGAATTTTTGCTGATATATATATAGAATGCGGCTCTCCCCAATAAGGCAGGTGTGCTTCACCCAGCCTTTTCTACCCTGATCTAGCTATTAATGGGCGCTCCACCTTCCGAGGTTCGGTCCGTACATTATCGCTTTTGGGCTTGGGCCTAGCTGATCTTTTCTAGGGGTCCTTCTCACTTCCTTCGGTTGTTGTCGATCGAACGTATTCCCTTGAAAAGAACCTCATGGATAGGTTTCTTGATCTTTTCCCTTTTCCCGCGCGGCTTTACCATGTCTGTCCTTGGCGTACACGGGGCCTGGTCCTTTTTGTTTCGTGGTGTGTTTCTCGGATATGAGCTTTGAGAGTCTATTATCCTTTTGCAATATACAAGAATAGATGAGAGCACGATAGATTGAGTGTTGAAGTACCGACCACTGGGTCATTACCGGCAGAGCAGAGTATGAGATAGCCTTGTCTTGTCTGGATTCGACGTTTCTTACCACCCTCAGGAATGGTTCTTGTGTGGATCTGAAAGAGTACTTTGGAAAAATTCCGTCGTTCCAAAAAGTATTGGACTTTCGCTCAAGAACCGGGACATCCCAAGTGATACACAGCGGAGATGACAGAGAGTAATGGATTCCATGTTCGACCGTCTGATGTGGTGCCTCTACCTTGTGACATTAGATCCCCACGAACTAACAGACTACGACATTCCTCTCGTCCTAAAGCACCTCGACGATTACCTTCACAAGTACTCGCGCGCAGAAGTAGGGGGAATCAACTTGGTCATGTACAGGTTCATCTCTGTGCTAACAGTACTGCATCGAATTAACACTGCGCTCAAGCCACGCAGGCGATGCTACCCCAAAATGAGGCGCTGGTTTATGGAAAGTTCGTTTTGCAGCAGAATTCCGGACAAATCGAAGCTATTCAGCAAGCCAAGATGGTGGGCGATGGCCATTCGACCGCTGAGATAAATATGCCAATAGGGACACGGGATGAAGCGTGGCTCTTGAGAGCCACTTCTGTCCGAACAGTCCTGGCGCACTTATGGAGAAAGCTTCGGGAAGACCCCACCAAGATCTGGAAACAAGCCGGGCATCTTGAGGCGGACATTGAGCGGCTCAGAGCAATGCTCATTCTGTACGATACTACAGAGTAACTGTCCCGTCGAGCCGCCGAAAGGCAGCGTACCATCTCTGCTGCCAACAGCAAGCGCTGGACGGATCACAAACCTTTGGTCTGGGAGCCAACCGATGACACTGGAGCTCTGAACGACAAGCCTACGACTGGAGAACTCGAAGACTCAAGCAGCCAAGACGATAAGCAAGCAAAGGACGAAGATTTGACATCGGAAGCATCCAGGACAGTGGTCAATCCTCGGCCACTTACCGTCAGCCGGTGCCAACTTTCACGCACGCACATACCCTACGAGACCAGGAAGGGTCACAGCCTCGCTCTCGCTATGCCATCACGAAACAATCGCTGAACGCCATCCGCCTAGCGTTTCCGAGCGGGAGCCAAGATCGAGCGACAGTCGACCGGCCCGACTTTGTGTCCCTAACTGTCCGAAATGGGGTTTTGGGAGGTACGCCGTGCAGCGTCAGCCCGCACGTTTCGAGTCTGACGAGAGAAGCATCGCCTTGCACAAGCCCCATCCGAGCACAGATGTGGGACCCGTGATGCTATGGCGGGTTGGCAGGTGGCTGTCCAAAAGATTTTAGCTGGGATAGGGAAGACTGTGGGCAAACGTCTTCGATGTTCGGACTCCATGCTGGTTATGGCATTTTTGGGTGCATGCAGCGTTGGTAGTTTGGCATTACTGCGGAGAGGAGAGCTCTTAGTGGAGATTGGAGTGGTGGGAATCTAGCATCTGGCAGCCGGGGCACATGAGCAATGGATTTGCCAGAAGCCTTATTGCTGGTCCAAGCAAGGATCACGAAACAGGACGGGGTTTGTTCATGCTTTTTTGATCATTCCGGAAAGCGAGCAGAGATGAGCATACGGGGTTGCAGTGATGTGATGAGCGTTGGGTTTACACAATCACGAGCACCTGGGGCCAAAGTAGAGCACCGGGATGGCAGTGTTCTGTGGTTTGTCCAATTATGCATGACAACATTGGCATCGGAATTCCTTTCTGAAATCGCGCTCTGCAAACAGAGAGAATCGCAGCAGCAAAACAGAGATCGCGCGTGGATACGGCTAAAGGATGACTGGACACGCAGATGATATGTGTTCAAGCAACAGTCTGATTTACAAGGGCAATCGTCTTCTCAGCCAACAGCTTAGCGTCTGGTGGAAAGCGTCCACTAATGTAATTGTAATTCTCGTCCTCGCGTACAAAGCTACGAGCGTTAGCAGAGCCCAGTCGGCGTTTCGACGTGTTCAGACGTACGGAGTGGACGAGAGACTGTTGAAGTACTGTTTCTTGGGATCGTCGAGCCGTTTTTCCACCTACACGATTTCGGGTCGGGTCAGACAATAGCGCGAGTAACGTGACTGGTTGTCGGACTTACACTAGCCTGTACACTTTCTGACCCAGCTCCATAGGTTTTGTAGTCTAGCACATTTGCGAGTCAGTCCTACCATTCGTAGATAAAGAATTGAGCAATAAGACATTTTTGAGGAGTATAAAGGACGGTAAACGGGTAACTTATTCCTCCAATATGTCTCCCAACTCAAAAAGCAGTCTTGAATAGATAGATGATTTTGAAAAGTGCCTTACAATCTCCAAGGAAGAGCCTAGTCCCCCAGAAGATCGACTGCTCCATGAAGCCAGGTAGCGCCGTGGTGGTGGCATCGTGCAGAACGCTCTTGCCGTTCGGGAAAGATGACTCTGAAAGTACCATCACGCCGTGGCATATCGCTGCAACATTCTTCTTCGAAGGCTTCCGCGTTTGAGGGAAATAGTCCACCATAAGTTTATGGGTCACGGGCGAGTTGATCACTTGGACAACACCCTTTTCGTGTCCGCCTGGCAGGAAAACAAGGTCATAAGGGTTGAGGGTAAAACCCTCATCAGCCCATGCAAGAGCTCTCATATTCTTCATGTCCTCTTTCATGGTTTTATACAAATCAATTGCCTCTTGCGTAGCACCCTATTGACAAGGAGAGGACGTGAGGACTTGTCTCAGATCCGAAAGTCATAATGCAACTTACGAGTAGTTTTTGTGTCATACCCTCCAGCATCTTACTATCACATTCGGGCATGTTCCCCTTTTCGGTGACGAAATCGATCTCGAAGCCGGCTTTCTTAAATTCTGCATATGGCACTGCAGTTTCTGAGATTCAATGTTAGCGACAGTAATACGCGGATTTGACTGACTTTGGAAGTCCTACCTGTTGGATCGTGCCCGTAATTGGCCATCAAGAAAGCAACTTTGGGAGGCATCGTGGGCAATATAGATGATGTAATGAGGACTTCTGAAGCTTCCCTCCCTCCTCCGACAGTAGTGAAATCGTTTGTATAAAAGCTCAAAAAAGCTGATCTTAGCCAAATGAATCCTTTATCCCGAGCTTTTCTCGTCGGGTTTGAAAGAGGAATGGGTGCATACGAGGATTGAGGTTTCACACATCAACCTCTTAGGCACTTAGCCTCGTGAGGGAAGAGACCTCTAGTCTATAACGCGGGAAAAGGTTTACGCCGAAGCGCAGATATTCTGCCTTACAACTAAGCTTTTTGCCCTACAACTAGGCTTTTCTGGCACGATACCCTATACAGATGACATCTTCGAGGTAGCAACCCCGTAGAACAGAGTCCCTATCACTCGGGCGAGACGCCTCGGTACTTTTTCAAGCACAGAGCCCCTGTAGCTCGGGCGAGACGCCCGGGAGTGGATCCTGTTACAGCGCCTGATCAGCTTAAGATTAGTGCCTGCGGGCCATGTACAGGTACCTAGGTACAAGGCGAGATGCCCCTGTGTTTCGGGGTCGAAACCTCTATATTTCGGATGAGCAGGAATCCTGTGTTTTGGGAAGGTTGCCTTCAGAAATCACTTGATTCGGGGTAGTTGTGGCCCCGAAGCGATGGGTTCCTCTGGCCTCGAGGACGAGCCTCGTGAAGGGAGGAAATGATCGTTAGGATCAAGTCCTTACGGGGGCCATAGGCCGGAACATTACCCCAAATAAGGGTAATCTAGGCGGGAAGCGGACACCCCCAGGCATAAGCTTTTGGCCGAACGGCTAAGCTTCCGGGTTGCTAACAATGTGTCTGCGCTTCGCGTCCCCTTTGGAACCTGATGCTAACAATTGCTTCCTCTCCCAAAGGATTCGTCCTCAAATTCGCAACGCTATACCTGAAGACCTCAGGTATCAGTAAGGCTCGCTAAAGCCCTTTAGACCCCGCTGAATACACAAGGGAAGAGTCCTTTTAGGGTCAGCGCAACGCTGACATACCGTACTCAAAACGAAACTCAAACACCAAACCCCAATGTGTAGAAACAATATCCAAAAATGTAGGGTGATGAGTGAAACATATCTGGAAAGGAGAAGAATCGTCATAGAATTGGACCCAACACTCATGCCATACTTAGCTCCTCATGCCTGTTTTCGAAAGCAAACTCCAAACCACACAGTTACACCAATCCATTTCCTAGCTCTCATCCCCAGCACCTCGCTCATCTCCTCATCCACTGCTCGTTGCAGGACCTCGCCAACAACTTCAAACCCTTGCTTCTGAGCTTCGGCAACCACGTCATTTAAATGATGAGCAAAGCTCTGCGTCTGCACCTTTTCTCCAGTCTTTGGGTCCACGAAGCCCGCTTGACTGATCGCTCCCATGTCTGAATGCATGTTCGTCACTAGGGCAAGCCCGCTCGGCTTCAACAACTCCGAGGCTTTCTCGAAGAAAATGGAGAGGGGAACATGCTCTAAAACCAACGTTGAAATGAGCGCATCCGCGTTCAAAGCGCAGGACGGTATGTGGTAGCTGCCCAACAGATTGTAAGGCTCTAATCGGGCTCCTTGAGCTCCTTCAGATGCCCTGCTGATCTGCGACATGTGCTCATTGATCCTCAATTTGGCAATCTCGAGCATCTTTGAGCTTGCGTCAAGACCTACCACCATAGAGCAGGGAAGGTCCAACAGCCGTGTCATATTCCGGCCAGTGCCACATCCCAAATCTACGACCTTCCATGGAGGACTTGAAGATATCCGAGATACCATTTTGGGAACTAGAGACCGCATCTCAATCGTGTCAAGCGCCTGTAGAAAATTGCCATCGGTATCGTAGACCTCGGACCATAGATTATAGGCAGTGGTGGGATCGAGAAAGCGAATAGGGGGCTTGCCTTCGATGCTTTTTGCCAATTGCAAAGGCGAGGCTTGAGGATTCATGGTGCACCAAATGCAATCAGAATTTTGATAGATCTTCAACAGCCGCCAAAAAGAGACTTGGAGAAGGAGAGACCGTGTACTCGAAGCTAATTTTGGTGATTGACATACGGGTACTCTGACTCACCCGGACTTGCCTCTGATGCTACTTTGAGTGTCCGATGTTCTGAAGATTCAGCAATAAACCCATTGACTCGACAATTCTGCCTTACGAGTATCCCGATCTTTAAGCGAGCTGCCTCTAGCTGACACCAATGCACCTGGCAGTCGTCTGTAAACAGGACAGAAGCGTACTCGGTCAGGTCGGCTTCCAGAGCTGTGGTCAAGGTCACCTCCTTCTTTTGTCTGATCGGACGTATTCGTAGAGCGATAGCAATGCTGAATATTTGGGGCTTGAAAGTCTCGTCCGAGGGAATTCGGTCACGCAGATCCCGGCCAAAAAAGACACTTTACGCTAAGGGTTTGCTCGAGGATCAACACCAACGTTACATCAGCCTCTACTCGTATATCATTCATTTACCTACTTATTCACTCCTGTCATTCTCTTTAACCCGCCGCTCGTTCAATGCCTCCCATGCTTCTGTAAATACATCATTCCATCAGACATACTCCCCAACTTGAGCACCGGACTCTCAGATCTCAAAAGAACACAGCGTCACAAAGAACACAATGACGAAATCAGACATGTAGGTGTTGCCACTCAACGCCCCTTCAGGGATACGGCTAATAAGTCCAGCTCCGTAGATGTACTGGTCATTGGCGCTGGCCCAACTGGTTTAGGAGCTGGAAAGCGTTTACATCAGTTGGTGCGATCCCACCGATACGCAGTGAGAGGGGCAAAGCTCACTCAAAGCGCAGGACGGGCCATCATGGATGATCATTGACTCGAGCGAAACACCTGGAGGACTAGCTTCTACAGATATCACACCTGAAGGCTTTGTAAGTCTCGCCGCCAATCTAATCTCGCTGCTTCTTAAGAACTTACTCTGACACGCTCCTAGCTCTACGATGTTGGCGGGCATGTCATCTTCTCGCACTACAAGTATTTCGACGACTGCATTCACGAGGCACTGCCCAAAGAAGATGACTGGTATACACATCAACGGGTCTCCTACGTCCGTTGCAAGGAACAATGGGTGCCCTATCCATTCCAGAACAACATCTCCATGCTGCCCAAGAAAGAGCAGGTGGATTGCATAGATGGTATGATTGATGCAGCAATGGAGGCAAGAGTGTCCAACACGAAGCCGAAAAACTTTGACGAATGGATTGTGCGAATGATGGGTGTGGGTATTGCCGATCTCTTCATGAGACCCTATAACTTCAAAGTCTGGGCAGTACCAACAACAAAGGTGGGCAAGAGCGAACATGCAGTGTAAACAGTTGGCTGACCGGTCCTAGATGCAATGCCAATGGCTGGGTGAGCGTGTCGCTGCTCCGGATATCAAGACTGTGACAAAGAACGTCATTATGCAGAAGACCGCCGGTAACTGGGGACCCAATGCCACCTTCCGCTTCCCAGCACATGGTGGGACAGGTGCCATCTGGATCGCCGTTGCCGATACTATACCCAAAGAGAAGACGAGGTTTGGCTCGCATGGCACTGTTAAGAAAGTTGACGCAGATGCTAAAGTGGTCACCCTTGAGAACGGCAAAACAATCAGCTACGACAAGCTCATCAGTACAATGGCCGTCGACGCTCTCGTTGAGAAGATTGGCGACAGTTCCCTTATATCTCTTTCCAATGACCTCTTCTATTCCTCCACCCACGTTATCGGCGTCGGCATCCGAGGCGAGCGCCCTGAGCGCATCGGCGACAAATGCTGGCTATACTTCCCGGAACCAGACAGCCCATTCTACCGCGCTACCATATTCTCGAACTACTCTCCCAATAATCAACCCGCTTCATCCAAGAAGCTTTCCACCATGCAGCTTGCATCCGGCGAGAAGCCCTCGAATACTTCCCCACAAGAAGGCCCCTACTGGTCCATTATGCTCGAAGTCTCCGAGTCCTCCATGAAGCCCGTCGACAACGCAAACATGCTCCGCGACTGCATCCAAGGCCTTATCAACACCGATATGCTCAAGCCCAATGACGAAATCGTCAGCACATACCACCGCCGCTTCGACCACGGCTATCCTACCCCAACCCTCGAGCGCGAAGGCGTTCTCAAGCAGCTTCTGCCCAAGCTGCAAGAGAAAGACATCTATTCCCGTGGCCGCTTCGGCAGCTGGAGATACGAGGTCGGCAACCAAGATCACAGCTTCATGCTGGGTGTGGAGGCCGCTGATCACATTGTGAACGGCGCCGCGGAACTGACGCTCAACTACCCCGACTTCGTCAACGGGAGGGTCAACCATGAGCGACGCCTTGTTGACGGTGCACAGTTCTTCAAATCCAAAAAAGGCATCCGTGACGAGGGAAAACCGCTCAAGCCGAATGGGGTCGAGACGAATGGTGAGGCCAAGGCTTCGTCCGGGCATGCGAGGAAGGCGAGCAAGGGGGTCTCGGTCAATGGGCAATAAGCGTGTGTATCGAGCTGTGTCATGCATGCTATAGCTGAATGGCTTGTACAGAAGGAGCGATCATTATGAGATCTCTTGTGGCATTAGATTGTTGTTGAGATGAGGTAGACACTTGCATTCATGCTTCGAGATCTAGACGATTGATCCTTTCACATAGATGATAAATTCAGCTTGCACAAACATATAACAATGGCGCTATACACTCTTGCCTACAATGCCTTTCCTACCCTGAATTTGGCGAATCACGAAAGGCATACGAAACCAGAGGTAATTTACGATTCATTAGGTTCCATAAGTTGAATTGCTACTGATCGCCATATCCTGCTAGTCCGGAATCTGGCTGCACCAAAAACACATTCATAAATGCCATAAACCCACCTTGCTCAAAACCGGATAACCAAATGCTACACCAAGATGATGCTTTTAAGACCCATAGCCAACTAGAACGCAACCCAATGTCGGTCCAAAAAGGCGCAAAGAGTGCACTCGCATCAAAAGCCTTCACCTCTGCCTATCCCTCTCCATCTCCTCCCTACCCATCCCCAATCCTGTAGCAATTTCTCTTCTCAATCGCCTCTCCTCTGCGTCCACCGCCCCAACATTTTCCTGCTCATAATCCCTGTAGTTCCTCGTCCGGGCAGACGGCCTTCTCGTCGGCGTAGCGAAAGCTTGCCAAGTAGCCAACCTCTCATTTCGCGTCGTCAAACCCCGAGAAGGAGCGGGTGCGGTGTTGAAAGGATTCTGAGTCGCCAAGGGCGGTCGTCGGTTGCGCGAGAGCTCGGCCGGCGTTTGAGGTTGAGTCGTTGGGGAGAGATTGTCGTTGTAAATGGGTATGTGGGCGTGTGACTGTGGCACAGGAGAGATGGGATAGGAAGGGAGGCGGGAAGGAGGTGTGTGCGGGGAGACGGAAGAAGAAGGGAAGACAGAATTTAAGGACAGGTTTCGTGGCGTAGCGGAGAAAGGCGGCGGAAGAGGTAGCTGTGGGGAGGGATGACGACGAGCGCTTCTTGGGACGAAAGGTTCTGCAAAAGGACTAAGATTGCGACGGGATGGAGTTGGATGAACAGTGCCCAGCTGACTCTGGGAGGAGGCAATGCGAGTGTGGTGGGAACCCATGCTGCTATGAGACCGGTAGCTATGGATCTCGACGGAATCCTGATAAGATTCATGAGGCGAAGACCATTCGTAATTCGTTTGAGTTTGACCGTGTAATCTACCAGTAGTGTAGTCTGGGTCGTGGTTGGGGGAACCAGCTGGTGATGCACCAATAGGGTGATAGTTCCAAGCTGGGAGGCCCGGTGGTGGAGTGGGTACCATGTTATGCGTCGAGGGGTACGAAAGGGTGAGGGACGGTAGATTTACCAAGTTACTCTTGAATGTTGAAGGCCCATCGACCTGTGGTAGAGCAGACATGTCTAGATCTTCTGATGACACAAAAGGGTAGCTCTCGCTGCGACGCTTGTACCTCTTACGACGCCTTGGAGGAAATGCCAGAAGCCCTTCGGAGGCAGGTGTCTCAGAATAGCCCGCTATAGTTTCTGGACCCTTATGTGGAGAGCTTGACATTGCGGCTTGGGAAATGTACAAAGAAGATCTCGGAAGACCGCTTGCGTGACGTGGAGTGTCCTCACAATGTGGTGGTGAAGGCATTGTTGGCAGCATAGATCGACTGGCGGTATCATTGGATGAGTGCCTAGACCCGCTGCCCTCTGCATCACTCCTGCCGTTTACGTAGGTCTCCAGGTTGGTGGAAATTGTACGCCTATCCCGACGGCTACCATACATTCCATCACGAATGTCTCCGCCAGCGCTGCTATTGGATGATTCTGATTTGCTTCTATCGTGGCTCCAATGAGAGTTGTAGCGGCCATCAGAATCTCCGTTGGCAAAAGAGTGGAGTTCATTGACTTCGAGACTCCCATCCAAGTCTGGCGTGACCTTCCGATGGAAGAAATTGAAGTTGTTGAACGACAATCGACGCTTTGCTGACGCAGTCTTTACCACCTTCTCGAAAGGGAACTTCTGCCCCTCATCTGCTTTGTTTGCATCAACGCAGGGGTCGACTCTTGTTGATTCAAGTGAACCTGAGGAGGACGGAAGTGGCCATTGAGAGGAGAGGTCCGCCTCGGTATCACGGAAAGGCGACCGCAGGTGGTCACTGTAATGGGCCCCAACGTCGTTGTCATCATGCCAGTCAGTATAATTTTCTTCGATTGAGGCTCGTGAGGAATGATTGTTCTCGAGGAAGTCATTGGAGGGCTCTATCACTGTCGCATTGCCCAGAGAAGTTGTCTGCGTCCGTGTAGGGGTTCCAGCATCCGCGAGTACTCTATCCCAGAAGGATCTTGAGTCGTGAGGGACTGGTTCGTTAGAGATTATTGAGTCTTCGTGCTTGCCGGTGACCTCTGTTGTTCTGGCTGTAGCCGGTTGGGCAAAAGAGTAGGGTGAATCGTGAGTGCGAGCGTCGTGTTGCTTTTTCTTGGGACTCCTTGTCTTGTTAATCACATTGGTCGGTGGTCCTGTGGCACGCACGGTTTGACGTTCATTGTGACGGTCTATGTGCCAGGTTAGGTCTCTGGCATCCAGCCTTAGCTGCGTCGGATTCAAACGCAGCATTTCGACGACTTGAAGACATGAAAGACAGAAGGAGACGAAGGATAGAGACGTGAGCAGAAACAGTCGGGTAAGTCATGCTCATAGCCATTGCAATTGCCATTAATGAAAACGGGCTTGTTGCAAGGCAAGAGCTCCCTACTTCAGGCAATATCGTGAGGGAACGCAGAAAGTATCACTGGAAACTTCGTACTCGAGATAGAACAACTTGTGTACATAATCATGATGATGCGCTGGCAAAGGTATTGGGGATATAGAGACGTAGAGGGTCCCACAAATAGCTATGAGTGATACAGTGAAGGATGATATGTTCCTCAAACGTCATACCAAGCCAAGATCGAAGCACGGATTTGTTCACCTAAAGACCAAGCAGTACTCTTGCCAAATGACTTTGGTCTGATGAATCCTCTTACAAGCTGTAGCTGATGACCCGGGCTTTCGAGAACGCTTTGTTGTACGAGGGTAGGACAATGAGGATGCTGCACCGCTATTCGATACCGCCAAGGCGGGATTACGAAGCCAAGGTATGGCAGCCACACTGCCACGCAAGTTCATTTCTGCATGTATGACCTCTTGCCTTTGCACTTTTGAGAGGTGAATCCCCTTATACAGTCATGTTGAAGCACTCGAAGTTTTTCAAACTCATCAGATCCAGGAAAGGAGCAGATCTACAATGATCGCCGCCGCAAAGAAGATCCCACCATCCACCATCCCTTGGATCTAATTAAATAATCAAATTAGGCAAGCCTTTCGTATCAATACCAAAGCCTCACAGTTGCCAGGAACAGCTGTCGCTCCACTCTTCCCATACTCCGTACACAGGCTGGATGTCCCTGTTCCAGGACCTATACTACCGACACAACTCTTTTTCCCTTGTGCCGTGCAGCAGAATCAACAACCATGGACGGCGACCTGAGTCTTGCTCAGACTCTTGGAGGTCTGCGGATCGCTAATCCTGACGACGCTTCACCCTCTCCGTCTTCGCAAGGTTTAGGACATGGCTCTTCGATATCACCGCTGTCTGCATCTCACCATGCTACAGAACATGGAGGAGAGGAAAGCAGCCCACTCTCCCCTCCAGCTCTACCGCCATCCCTACCGAACAATGGCTTCCGGTCAACATCTCCCTTAGGCTTCAATCCAAAAGCTTTCTCTACAGATACAATTTCAGCTGAACCTCTACCCGGTCAAATCGAGCAGCCTCTCGCTTCCACACCCAGAGATCCGTCGACTTACGCGCAGCGGCACGCCAACCGCCAGTCCATACCCCTCACATACCAAGATCAACAGCAAGCTCAGTTTCCACAGTACCCGACGATGATGCCTTTGAGTCAACGAAATCCAACCTCAGGCTTACGTCCGGTAGCTTCCATGTATACTCAACCACCTCCGGTCCCCAATGGGAATCAGCTACCAAGCGATGGATCATATCGGCAGCGCGACGAATTCTCGCATTCGTCAATCCTGGGAATGCCCCAAAGGAGCAGCTCGAGAGGTGCGTCGGCGGCGATGCAGGCGGGGGTGCCAACAAGAGAGGGGAGCCACAGAGATCGATCCTACAGACAAAGTCAGCTGTACAACGGCAACGGAGGGCTGCCGCTAAGGAAAAGCTCAAGAGGCATGGGAGGTGGGCAGCTAGGCAACTCCGCGGTGTCTGCACCATCACCAGCTGCTGGGTCACCATATGGAATAGAAGGAGGGCCTGTCAAAAGTAGCGATGAATGGCAAGAAAAAGGAGCGGTGGTGGGAGTACGTCAAGAAATAGATGCCAACGGCAGGCCTGTAACAAGACACGTGAAAAAAGGAGTTAAGGATTTTGCATTTGGGCGGACGCTAGGCGAAGGCTCCTACAGTACTGTTATGGCGGCCACAGACAGGCAGACAGGCAAAGAGTATGCCATCAAGGTGCTCAACAAGCGGCACATTATCAAGGAAAAGAAGGTAAAATACGTGAATATCGAGAAGGATACCCTGAACCGTTTGACCGATCATCCTGGAGTTGTGCGGCTTTATTATACATTTCAAGATGAAGGATCGTTGTATTTTGTGCTGGATCTCGCGAGTAGCGGGGAGCTTTTGGGTGTTCTCAAGCGAATGACGACCTTTGACTTGGAATGCGTAAGGTTTTACGGTGCCGAGATATTGGACACGGTCGACTATATGCATACGCGAGGGGTGATACACCGCGACCTGAAACCGGAGAATGTCTTGTTGGATGATCAAATGCATGTCAAAATTACAGACTTTGGTACGGCGAAGATCTTAGATGTCCCTGAGCGGCTGCCGAAGGACGCAAATGGGGACATAGGGGCAGGGAACCCTCTGGACGGATCTGAGGACCACAAAGCAAACTCTTTTGTCGGAACCGCAGAATATGTGAGCCCTGAACTGCTCACAGACAAGAAAGCTTGCAAGTCCAGTGATCTGTGGGCATTTGGCTGCATCATATATCAACTTCTAGCAGGTCGGCCACCATTCAAAGCTGGTAACGAATATCTGACCTTTCAAAAAATTGTTGCCCTGGAGTACCAATTCCCTACAGGATTTCCGGAGGTAGCTAAGGATCTTGTCGAACGATTGCTTGTCTTGGATCCTGCGAGTCGCCTATCGATTGAGCACATCAAGAATCATGAATTCTTTGACGGTGTGAATTGGGGTCGCGGGTTGTGGAGGCAAAAAGCACCAAGGCTGAAGAGCTTTGTTCCAGCGGTAGCAGAACCAAGAAGGCTGAACGGCCATGCCAACAACAATGGGAATGGTAACAACTATCCGCCAAATATTGCGCCCTCGCACAGCACCTCAACAACCCGATTTGAAGGAGCCAGCAGTAGCGTGCCGAGACCCAGTCCAAGAGTCATCACGGAGCTTCCGCCACCAAGCCAGCTTGACATTGAATGGTCGCCTGTGTTGACAAAGAACAACGAGCGAATTCTGAAGCTTGGTAACCTCCTTGTCAATACCACCCCGGCTCCGCACAGCCCCACGGGTAAAAGTGCTGGTCAGAATGGCGAGACAGATTCACCCAAAAAGTTCTCGAGATTCTTTGGCAGTAACACAACGAAAAAACGTCAAAGACTGGTAATGATAACATCAAGCGCTCGAATCATTATAGTCGCTGCTGGCGGGGAAGACAAGAAGTCAAAGATCGAGATACCGCTGCTTATTTCGGGTTGCTCTTGGAGAAAGTTACAGGATTCAAAAGGCTTCACGTATTGGTGCGTCGATACAGTGAGTAGCTTCGATTACCACTGTCTACAATTCGCATGTCTAATCACAGTGACAGCATGACAAGCACTTCAGCTTTGAGGATCCTAAAGCTGCATCATCTGATGGGTCTGCGACTTCGGCGTCTGCCCAAGAATGGCTTGACAGCATCGAGACTGCCCGAGAAATTGCATTCTCCCAAAGCTTGTCAAATTCGTACACCGGCGACGATGCCCTCAAGGATCTCCAATCAGGCTCACATACATCCTCGCGCGGGCTCGACCTCGATTCTCCAGGACCCTTGGAGAACGGATCTGGTCGTCACACCCTTCAGAAAAACTATTCCAGCAACGAGGAGTCCTTCCATGGCATTGGACGGAAACGCTTCAGCAAGAGGCAGTCAAAGAGTGGATTAGCTGCTGTGTTCTAGTATTCGTTTCCCTACGACTACCGAACCCTTCAGTCCACCAAGCAAACAATCAACGACTCTCTAATTTACCTTGCCAAGGCTTGCCAAACAATTTCTCCTACTGTTCGTCAAGTTTGGTTCTCATTCTGATCAGCCATGGTGGCATTTAATGACACGATTACGCAGCGGGTGCTTCTTGCATTGTGGACTTGGGAACTATTCGATGAAGATATCAGCGCATTGGTGCCCAGGGCATTCACCGGCGTTTTCTAAGGTATCATAGACAATGTCGACTACACATTGATCTGTATCCAGTTGTTAGGGGAAAAAAGAGAAGCAAGGCGTTTGAACGCAAACTATCTCGGGAATTTGTGCGCTCCAACCTGATGCGCACCACAAGGGTCTCATCTCTACCCATACCCATGACTGATCCACACACCTGCGTTTCGAAGTTGTCTCAGCGAGTATGCAGGCCAAAATCTCACGTTTCTTTGAAATTAGCAGGATCAAGCGGCTCCCGCCCTCATCCGCTCCGGACTTTGTCCCTGCATGTGTCTACGTCATGATTTAACTTCAATCCATTCATGTTGAATGCTTCATTCATGAACACAATTTTGGTCTTCAGCCGTTTCTGCAGTCGATCGCATACATCTCATCCCATTGCCTCCAGCCAACCATGGCGCCCACCGTTAAGCCTCCCCCACAATTGAACATTCCCGACTCCAAGTCCGTTGTCAATGTCCATATAATCGACAGTACCTCGCGCATCAAGGGCATCCCATTCTCTGCGTTCATGACCCCGCCCTACAAAGGCCTCGATTACCTGGACTGCCCTGCTTTCTGCTTCCTTATAGAAAATCAGTCCTCTGGACGCAAGGTTCTCTTCGACCTGGGGGTACGGAAGGACTGGGAAAACCTGCCAGCGACTATAGTAAAGCGTATTAAAGATGGGGGCTGGACGGTGACAATTAAGAAGGAAGTTGCAGAAATTTTGCTAGAAGGCGGGGTGGCTCCGAAGGAGGTTGAAGCCATTATTTGGAGGTAGGAAGCGCGAACGGCGCTTCCCAAGCAAGGAGCATCTGACAGCTAATCTCTCAATAGTCATTACCACTGGGATCACACTGGCGACCCTTTCACCTTCCCCACCTCCACAGATCTCATCGTCGGCCCTGGATTCAAACACGCGTTTGTGCCAGGCTTCCCTGAAAATCTTGAGGCGCCTATTTCAAAAAGCGCATACGAGGGCCGCAACCTCCGCGAGATATCCTTCGCAGATTCAAAGCTGGTCCTAGGTCGATGCAAAGCGGTTGACTTCTTCGGCGATGGCAGCTTCTACCTTCTCGACACTCCAGGACATGCAATTGGGCATATGTGCGGTCTTGCACGCACCACTGTGTCGCCAGAAACAACCTTTATACTCCTTGGCGGCGATTGCGCGCATCACGGGGGCGAGTATCGCCCAACGCAGTACCTCCCTCTACCAGAAACTCTTTCACCATCTCCCATCCCAAGAACACATCCCGGCATCTGCCCAGGCGCTGTTTTCGCTGATATCCATCACCTGCATCCCTCATCGTCTTCCTCTACCGAGCCATTTCTATTGGCCAGTGAGGACGCAGCGCATGACCTCAAAGCTGCCAGAGACAGTGTTGTGAAATTGGGGGACTTTGATGCGCATGAGAATATACTGACTATGATTGCACATGATGATACGATGATCAATGTTGTGGGCACATTCCCGAACACGTTGGCGAATGATTGGAAGAGTAAAGGGTGGAGGGAGAAGGGTATGTGGAAGTTCTTGGGAGATTTTGCGGAGGCGGTGGAGGAGAAGGAGGGGAAGGAGGGCGGGAAGGAACGATGAATACGCTGACTGCAGAAAGAAGCTCTTCATACATAACATCCACGAGAGCACGCCTGGTGATCAACGAAACTCGATTTCTCTGCTTGACTCATAAGATTATGCAGCAGAAGTCTTGCATAGAGGGCGAAAACCCTTGATGAAACTGTAGAAGTCTGACAGTTGCCAGACAATTGTGAAGACTCTCAGGAAAGATTCCTCAAAAGTTGTCGTTTTACCTACAGCGTAGAACTAATCACAGAAGATGGTGACAATTTTTCGCAGATTTTTCCTCAGGATCGTCACTTTACCTGCAAGGGAGAATCTATAGAAGTCGAACAATTTAGACGCAGTGCCCCCCAAAAACGATATCACCAAAATTTCCCCTTAGAATCATTGTTTTACCTGCAAGAAATTTCCTTTATTTTGTAAAATTGATCCTAACCCATTGTGAAAAACCCATTGTAAAAGGGTATTCCCTCTATGCATGACATTTGCTATATTCTCTTACTTTGATAGGGCTGAGTAGTCAATTATGTCATTGACATAATGTCAATGACTCAATGCCCCACCCGGGTTACACGGATCATACCTTAATCGCCGGCACATGTGCCGACATATGAAAACCTAGGATGGCGCCAGAGAGCAAAATTATGACGTGAAAAGGAGGATAAGTTTGATTTCAAATCTATGCCTCAATTCTTCAAACACAGAGTCTATCAGTTCTTTTGGGGAGAGACCCACAAGCGGAGGTAGTAGTCACCACTCCGGTATATCCGTCATATATCCTGCTTCAATTTCCCTGCATCTTTCGACAGATTGACACCAGACTATCAAAATGTTTGGGCAGCAGCAGCCAGGAGAACTCTTTCGACTGCGAGCTCAATCGAGTGGTGAGTCCTCCCAATGTAAAATACCCTGTCCCGAATCATTGCTAAAGTTTTTCATGTATCGCACACAGCACCAGACGCAAACCTCCACAACATTGCCCCTCCGGACCATGATCAAGAGCAAAGGAGCAACGCCAATGGCGAGGGAGCAGTTGAAGACGCCGCGCCCCAAACGGGTGCCACCTCCACAGCTGTCCCTAGTACTGAGGCCTCTTCGACTGCCGAAGGGACATGGGGCGAAAGAGACGTTGGTGGGCCCGTTAGTCACAGAATAGCAATGGAGGACTACGAGGCCATGCGGCGTGAGCTCTCTCAATTGAGCCACACAAGATCGAAATCCAGTGCGAGAGCCGATGGCGGCGGGCTCATGCGGACCCTCACAAGTCGAAGCAGGCGAGCAGAGCGTCCTTCCCAGCAACGCACACAGTCTTCCGAGAGAAGGAGCGCATTCGCCGATGGCGAGGACCTTGAAGCTGGCGATGCACAGGGTGTGGCGGAGAAAGAGATGCAATTCGAGCTGGGACCGTTTCTGAAAGAGGGCCATTTTGAGAAGCATACCGATACGGGCGATTCAGCGAAGAAAGTGGGTGTGGTGTTTAAGAATTTGACTGTCAAAGGTGCTGGGAGCACGACGAACTATACGAAGACCTTGCCGGATGCGATACTGGGGACCATCGGACCGGATCTGTATCGGCTCATGTGCCGTTTCATACCTGCTCTAAGCTTCAATAAACATCAGCAATTAAGGACCCTCATCAATGATTATACGGGCATTGTCCGAGATGGAGAGATGATGCTGGTGCTTGGGCGGCCTGGGTCTGGTTGCACTACTTTTTTGAAAGCTATTGCAAATAAGCGGAATGAATACGCTTCGGTAACAGGAGACGTCTCCTATGGAGGCATTCCGGCCAAAGAACAGAATGCACATTATAGGGGCGAAGTCAACTACAACCCAGAAGACGACCAGCATTTCCCAACTCTGAATGTCTGGCAAACCTTGAAGTTCTCGCTGCTAAACAAGACCAAGAAGCGTGAAAGAGGCGAAATGAGCATCATCATTGACGCGCTGATGAACATGTTCGGCATTAGCCATACTGCTAAGACGCTGGTTGGAAATGAAATGGTTCCTGGTGTTTCGGGAGGTGAAAGGAAACGGGTCTCTATTGCAGAAACACTGGCTACGAAATCAACAGTGGTATGCTGGGACAATTCAACTCGAGGGTTGGATGCCTCTACCGCACTGGATTATGCCAATTCTCTACGCATCATGACGGATGTCAGTAACCGCACGACACTTGTTACGCTCTACCAAGCTGGAGAGCAGATCTACGAACTAATGGACAAGGTTCTCGTCATCGATGAAGGGCGGATGGTCTTCCAAGGTCCAGCAAACGAAGCTAAGCAGTACTTCCTCGACCTGGGACTCTATTGCCCAGAGAGACAAACGACTGCAGACTTCCTGACCGCTGTGACCGATCCAGCTCAAAGAGTGTTCCGCGAAGGGTACGAAGCACAGACGCCGAAGACCGCGGAAGACTTTGAGAGAGCCTTCAAGAATAGTGCCAATTACAAGAAAGTCCTGGCAGACGTCGAGGATTACGAACAGCACCTCAATCGTACAGACCATGGGGACGCAAGAGAGTTCAAGCAAAGCGTCAAGGAGCAGCAGTCGAAACATGTGTCGCCGAAATCGAGTTTTACTGTGAGCATTTGGAAACAGGTGCTGGCGTGTACTCAGCGCGAGTTCTGGCTCGTCTGGGGCGACAAGCCTACCATTTATACCAAATTCTTCATCATCATTGCCAATGGACTCATCGTGGGCTCTCTCTTCTATGGCCAACCTCTGAACACCGAAGGTGCTTTCACCCGCGGCGGCACAGGCTTCTTCTCCATCCTATTTCTTGGTTGGCTTCAACTCTCCGAGCTGATGAAGGCCGTCTCTGGTAGAGTGGTCATCGACCGACATCGTGAATATGCCTTCTACCGGCCCAGTGCCGTGGTTCTAGCTCGGGTTCTGGCCGACTTCCCTCTCATTCTCACACAGGTCATACCGTTCACGATCATCATGTACTTCTTGACAGGCCTGGACGTTACCGCGTCGAAGTTCTTCATCTACTTGCTATTCGTCTACACCACAACTATCTGCATCACCGCACTCTACCGGATGTTTGCGGCATTGTCACCAACAATCGACGATGCGGTCAGGTTCTCTGGTACCGCCCTTAATCTCCTGATCATCTACACTGGCTACGCAATACCGAAACCCACCCTGTTACATTCGAAGATCTGGTTCGGCTGGATTTACTACATAAACCCGATCTCCTATGCGTTTGAGGGTGTCCTATCGAACGAGTTCGCCGACCGAACTATGTCCTGCGCTGCAGAAATGCTTGTGCCTCAGGGTCCCGGGGTCCTATCTCAATATCAAGGATGTGCCATTAGCGGAGCCACTTTGAGCAGCACGAGCGTCTTAGGCTCCGCATACATTGGCACTACCTACGAATACACGCGTTCGCATCTGTGGCGGAATTTTGGTGTGCTCATCGCTTTCACTGTGCTTTATATTTTGGTCACCGTTATGGGATCAGAGCTATTTTCGTTCGTGGGGGGTGGTGGGGGTGCTTTGGTCTTCAAGAAAGGCTCCAAGACGCCCGCACAGGGCACTCCAAGCACTGCGGACGCTGAGAAGGGTGGCGATGCTGGAGATAGCAGTGCCTCGAGTGGTCAACTTCAGACGAGCAGCCAGGAAGACAACCCAATCCCAAAGATCTCGGAAAATGAGAGCGTCTTTACTTGGACTGATGTTGAGTTTAGCGTGCCTTATGAGGGAGGCCAGCGTAAATTGCTCAACCGAGTGAATGGGTACGCTAAACCTGGAGTCATGGTAGCCCTAATGGGCGCTTCCGGTGCTGGGAAGACTACCCTGTTGAACACCTTAAGCCAGCGCCAGAGGATTGGTGTCGTGAGTGGGGAAATGCTTGTTGATGGCCGAAATCTTGGCACTGAATTCCAGCGTGTCACTGGCTTTGTCGAACAACAAGACCTTCATGACAGGACTGCTACTATTCGAGAAGCCATCGAATTTTCCGCAATCTTGCGTCAAGAACGACATGTGCCTCGAGAAGAGAAACTTGCCTACGTTAAGGAGATCATAGACCTGCTTGAGTTGCGGGAATTGTCCGATGCTTTGATCCTTTCATTGGGTGTCGAGCAGCGGAAACGTGTCACTATTGCGGTCGAGCTGGCTGCAAAACCTTCACTTCTCTTCCTCGACGAGCCCACATCAGGTCTCGACAGCCAGTCTGCTTACTCGATCGTGCGGTTCCTCAAGAAGCTTGCGGTAGCTGGACATGGGATTATATGTACGATCCATCAACCGTCTTCGGTTCTCATCCAACAGTTCGACATGATTCTTGCTCTCAATCCTGGAGGTAACACCTTTTACTTTGGTCCCGTTGGCGACAATGGCTCTGCTGTTAACAAGTATTTCGCCGATCGTGAAGTTTATTGCCCACCACAAAAGAATATTGCGGAGTTCATCCTTGAGACTGCAGCAAAAGGCGGCAAAAGGAAGGACGGGAAACGCCTGAACTGGAATGACGAATGGAAGAAATCCCAAGAATACAAAGGCGTTCTTGTCGAGATCGATCGCGTTAATAAAGAGCGAGAGAAGATCCCGCCCAAAGCCGCAGACACACAACATGAATACGCCTCCCCAGTCTGGCTCCAAATCACCATGCTGACTCACCGAATGTTCACGCAATACTGGCGCGACCCATCCTACCTCTATGGCAAACTATTCGTTGCAATAATTATCGGCATCTTCAACGGCTTCACCTTCTGGCAACTAGGCAATACGATCCAAGACATGCAGAACCGCATGTTCACAGCCTTCCTGATTATCTTGATCCCGCCTACCGTCGTCAACGCCGTTGTGCCGAAGTTCTATATGAATATGGCACTGTGGGAAGCTAGGGAAAACCCGAGCAGGATCTATAACTGGGTAGCTTTCTGCACAGCCTCTGTCGTGACCGAGATCCCTATCTCCATCGTTTCGGCTGTCATATACTGGATCATTTGGTACTACGCCACTGGCCTCCCAACCGATAGCAGTACGGCCGGCTACGTCTTCTGGATGACGATGCTTTTCTTCCTCTTCCAAGCTAGTTGGGGCCAATGGATCTGCGCTTTTGCCCCATCCTTCACCGTCATTTCCAACGTTCTGCCGTTCTTCTTCGTCATGTTCGGCCTCTTCAACGGCGTTGTTCGTCCTTACTCTCAACTTCCAGTTTTCTGGCGGTACTGGATGTATTGGGTCAACCCTTCCACCTACTGGATCGGCGGTGTCATTGCTGCCACGCTCCGAGACATACCCATTCAATGCGGCCCTGACGAAGCGGCTATGTTCAATCCACCGCCCGGGATGACCTGTGGACAGTATGCTCAACCGTATGTCAACAGCGTTGGCACTGGCTACATCACGAATCCGAGCGCAACGAGCGATTGTGGTTACTGCCAGTATGCCAGTGGAGTGGAGTATATGGCAAGCCTGAATGTGAGCCCGAGCGATAAGTGGAAGTACCTGCCGATTTTCCTGGCGTTTGTCATTAGCAATTGGGCGCTGGTGTACTTCTTTGTTTACACGGTCAGAGTTAGAGGCTGGGGCTTTGGGTTTGGCTATCTGTTCGGTGGGTTGGGGAAGCTGGTCAGTGCTGTGAAGACGGGGATTGGAAAGACGGTTGGTGGGAAGAAAGGGAAGGGGGCTGAAGCCGAGAAGTAACAACGGAGCATGAAAAGCAGCTGCACGGTCTTCTAGCGCTTAGACATCGGGGGCGCACGGTGATTCATTACAGGATACAGATAGACCCGAAAGCTGGTGCCCAATCCTCAAAATACCGCCAACCGATCCTACCCCATCTCACTTCCCCATCTCGTCAACGTCGTCCCCTCTACCCCATCATTCTCGCTCGTCTCATTACCCCCCTCGAACCCTCCCTACCTTACCTACCAGCTCCGACCCGCCCTTCCCCCTGCGCTAAGATCCGTTCCCACCGAAAGCCAACGAGTCCCGCCGCATCACCCAAACCAACCCAAACCAAACCAAACCAACCCAAACCAACCCGAGAATGATTCAACCCATCGGTCATTCCGTCAAACAACGCAGAAGAAAGATTTCTTTCTTGCTTTCTTTCTTTCTTTCTTTCTTCTTTCTTTCTTCCTTTCTTTCTTTCTTTCTTTCTTCCTTCCCTCCTCCCTTTCTTCCTCCCTTTCTTTCCAACCCCCCCCCCCCGCAAGATCTTACCCCAGCCGGGCTCCGGTGCCCCCATCGACCCCATTACTCGTAATCCTCTAGCCAATTGGTAGAATGAGCAGGTCAACAGGACTGCACCCCGTTGGAGAACTGGCGTCGAGCCGGTGAGGACGGACGGACGGATGGACGGATGAGATGAGATGAGATGAGATGAGATGAGATGAACCGCGTTCAGATAGCGAGCAAAGGAGTGGAAGGGGGGGAGGGGGGGAGGGGAGGGGAGGGGCGAGGTTTGTGTCGTGGGTGGGAGAGGGGTACCGATGGGGTTTTTCTGGGATCTGGAGTCGTAGGTACGGACGTACGGACGAGGGAAGGGAAGGGTTTGCGTGCGGGGTTTTGGAAGGGTTGTTGTGTAGTTGTAGACGAGGAGATGATGGTGGTGTTGCTGGGAGAGGAGGGGGGGGCGGAGACTTTGGAGCTGGACGGCGTGGTGCGGTTGGAGTGGACGTGAAGTAATGGGGTGTTGGATTTGATTCTTGGGGACGTGTGTCTTGTGTCGGGTTGTAGAAATCGGCGGAGTGTTGGCATCTTGGAGAGATGCCTCTCTGCAAATTTTCCCTAGATAAGACGCCTTCGCCGATGATATAAAGAGCCTACCGACATTACTGCTATGCAAGAGCTTGCCCCCTTTTCCCCCAACGCCTCGCTTGCTATGACGTATTAAAGACAGCAATTACCTGTCCGAATCATGGGAAGAAATCCCTCGAGTTCAAAATCCTGTGTGTTTTCTTCCCCATGCTGCATCGATCTCTGACGTGCTGTTACCGCTCAAGCAGTCCTCTTCACAACGAACACTCCGACCTCGATTCCCTCTCTAACCGCGTCGCACTCTGCATATGGCCTCTCTTTCACTCCGTCACACACTTCGCGAACCAAGTCCGAGGCCGTCACGTCCTCGATATCACCGGAGAAATTCATTTTGTGTGGCAACATGAGCCCCTTGTTGAAGTAGTTATTGACCACCTTTGCAATCCTCTCGCTCTCCTGATGAATCCACCACTGCGTCCACTCTTTCCGCTCCAGCGGCACTACCTGCGTATTCGAGTGCATTATCTTGTATCTGGGCTTGGGGCGATTTGGAGCGGTAATGCCGCGCTCGAGCTGGCGGAGGAGTGCGGAGAGTTTACGTAGCATTTTTTCGTAGGGAAGCATTTGGTGCACAGCCGCAGCTTTGCCAATGCCACACGCAAAGTCGGCAGAGAGATTGTAGAGGCCGACCATGTTGCGTAATAAGGGATCGAGAAGCGCACCAAGGTATCTGGAAGAGAACGTGGTGGCTCCTTGGAGTGTTGGGTAGACGAAGACGAGCATGCCTCCTCTTGGCGAAAGCTCAACGAGTCGGTCGACGAGGACTGATGGGGCATCCATAGCGAAAAGGTGGAGATATTCCTCGGTAGACGAAGGTGGGATGAAGCGTTCAAGCAGGGAGACACTGATGCTGGAAGGCGCCACAACGGGGTGTGGAGAGGAGGGGACGGAGGTATTGAGGGCGTGGTGGTGATCCATTGCAACGACCGCTTTGGGGAAGACATTCATACTGAAATAGTCGGCTCCCGACGCTCCGATGTTGGGTGTTGTAACGGGGCTGTTGGGAATGTGGTTCATGTTGAATTTTACGGGCACTGCGTAGGTTATATCGATGTAAAGTCCGCCAGGATCCGCGCTATCTTGGATGGCGGCTTCGATGACCTGGAAGGTAGTTGCAACGGGTCCAATCATTTCTGTGGTTTGCACTGGCACCTTGATATCACCAATGAAAACAGGCGGCTTCTTCTCGTCTTTAGGCTTCATCATGATGTTCGTAAGAGGGCAAGGTTGCGTATGGCAGAGCGTATACACGACATAGTTTGTAGCAGCGACATCGATGTTGGCAACTACGGTGGTCAGCGAGAAGCATTCAATGCTTTGCAACGATTTCGTGAAGCTCACCAAGCGCGTCAGTAGCCTCCTTGAGCCAATCGAACTGACCAGGCACAGCATCGCTGTCCTCACTGTCAGACCTCGTAGGGTCTGTCCCATGTTCAGCATTCCCGGCTTGGGCCTCTGAGACTGGTATGGATTGATGGTTCGAGGCAGTAGTAGTCGGAGCTTCAGAAGCAGTCGCTACTTGGCCGAGCGTGGAGGTAAAGTCTGAGCGGTCAGGCGACGGCGTCTTCGGCATGTTGAGTGCTGGGTACGAGGATCTTCTGGAAGCTGATGGAAAGGAAGTAAGTGGTGGAGTTGCCATGCAATCTTGGATGATAGTCTCGTCAGGTGGAGTGAGCAGAGCGTCGGGTACGCGTGAAGAGATGCCCAAAGATCTAAAGGATGGAAGTTGGAGGTGCTGCCGACATTTCACCAGGGGTAGGAGCGAATGCATGTTTGTGGTCTCAATAGTAGCGGCGGCGAGATCATTTGGAACAGGGGCGGCGAAGTCACTGATGTGATACTTCTTTACTCCGGATGCTCTACAGCTTGGAAGATCAGAATCCGAATAACCTCGACAATTCAAGCAGGCCTTGGAAGGGATTCCTTCGATTGAATTGGCCCCATCCTGGTCAGACACGAAAGGCTGTGGCCGAGCCGATGCCTTTGTGGTCATTGCATCCGTTGCATACTACCGTATCGGGGCTGATTGAATGTAGCTGGTGAGGTTGGGTGATCACAGACGAGTACGAACTCGGTTTACCAATGTGGTGTAGCCGAGAGGAAGAAAGCGTTTGTTGTTTGTTGTTGTTGTTGTTGTTGTTGTTGTTGTTTTCTGGAGCCAGAGCGATGTGGATAGGATCTCAGCAAGTAGACCGGGATGGCAAAAGAGGGACTGTCTATTGGAGGGCAGAATGATCAAGTGAATAGGTCATCAGTCATAACGGCGAAAATCGAATGTAGGTATGTGTAGGGTCGTAGTGCAGGCAGTAGAGAAAGAAAAGAAGAAAGAAAGAAAGAGAAGAAATGAGTAAATCAGCCGATGGAGATGTTTGGGTGGTACTCGGGGTGCTCGGGGGTCTAGACCGGTCTTTCGCAGAGGGAAAATTTGGGTGAGGCACCAAAGGGCACCAGAGGGGAAAGGGCAGCCGCCGCTATTCTTGGGGCCAAATACGCGTTTCAGAGCCTAAACGCACCCTAAATCCCACTCCAGCAACGGCTTTTTTCCCGCCGGACCACCCGATCCCCTGCCCTTTTTTCTTTTTTCAACGAGTCAGGCATGACTTGCAGCTGTCTCCGCTCCGCTGCATTGGCACTCCGGATTGGACGCACCCTTTCTCATTAGAGCTGTCAGCAATATTAATAGATCCTAGGTATCTCCCTGACTATCCAGTACTACTATCTACTTTAGGTTCGCGAGGTGCGGGTCCATTGAGAAAAAGTCAATGTACGGTCAGAAGCCACAGCAAAGTATTCAGTGGGCACGGAAGGCAGCGGAGCCAGACCTCCTCAGACTCCAAGGCTTGCATGGAATACACCAAAAAGTGCTCATGCGGGCCCATCGAATTCCCGCTCATTGCAGCAATCACCATCGCCTTCATCGACATCAAGACTTCTCGTTCGCTCGGAGCATGGAGAAAACAGGTTTATTGAAGTGCTTGCACGGATTGATTGGACACAGGCAGTCAAGGACTTGGAGCCTTGGCTTTGCATTGGCTCAATCTGTGGCGACATGGGTCCGGCACCAACCGAGCCTCCGCGCGTCTTAACCCTGCATACCTAGTACTCACCTAGCTCTGACCTCTCTACGTCTCGTGAAAGATGCTGAAACGAGTATGTAACGGGCGTACATAAGTTTGCACTTGCGCAATATCAAGGCTCCCTTGCGACTTCAGGCCTGTTACAGGGGTATCACTGGTAGGGACGTGCGCTGGATGGTCTTGAAACAGTGCACACCCCAGAGTTGAGACGCGCTCCAAGAAACAGTCATATAATGTTGAAGCTTAGGCTGAGTCCTAATATTAAAGCAGGACTTGTGGACGATGGATTCCGTTTCGCTTGGAGTTAAATACGTTAGGGTATTCTTGAAATAACGACATGCCTTGACCATGACAACACACCCCATTCATGAGCGAGTACGCTGTTGATATAGCATCCATGATTCGAGACAATTCTATAAAGCAGCTGCTTGACATGGCCAGCGCCTGTGGTCAGTCATTTGTCCGCAGTACCAACTCCACGACCTCCCTCGACCTTGTGGCTCTGGGCCTGGGGATCATGAGACAGACAAGCATTACGAGCAGCAAAGTTGGTGGAGATATGTAGTAAAGCTCACGCCTGCGCAACTTGATCAAGAAAGATGCGAAATAAATAAACTCTTCTCTTCCCAAGAACATCTCGTATTCCTTGCACGCAAACCATGCCTCGCCATCATGGGGCTGTTGGCGTTGAGACGTTGACGTGCACAAGTATTGTAGTACCTAGAAAAGCAGCCGGAAGTATGCAGTACGACCCATGCTCGAACGACTAGACCGTGAGGTATGAAAAGTAGCGAATCATACTCTCCCACATTCTACACTCCCCTCCCACGACGCATAGATCCGAACGACCTCACAACGACAGAGTGGGAGGCATGGACGGGGACAACACCTCCAGAAGCGTCGGTCATGAGAGCAGTAGAAGAACCTGTCGTGTCCATCGAGGTGGGACTGCTCTCCCAACAAGGCCGGCTTTGTCACCTCAACACGCAGCAGACGTAGGATTGGATGATCAAATGTAAGATACGATAGAAGCAATCACGATTGACGGCCCTTGAGACTGAATGGGAACCCACTTCGTTCTAGTAGAGTGACTTTTTACTTGGGATCGCTGGGCAGGCCGTTTATGCAGAACCCCCTTTTTGTCAACACATGAGACCTCTTCCGCCTCCCTCTTGGATGGGCTGGTCTCCCAAAGGCGGTATCTGTGTTGAAAGCCATCCCTCAGACACTTGGGCTTGGTTGCAAGATTGCAAAAGCGCGCTCGACTCAATTCAAGGGTGGTGTACCAGCACACAAGTGAGGTGCGTGGCGCTTTTTGATTTTTTTTCGAGCCCTTCCGTTCTAAATAAACATATATTCCCATCATACGAGATATCTTTGCATGTGGACAGGAACATATAGGAGTATCATACCATTAACTCCGGGGGAAAAGCTTCTTGATGTGTTTGTTGTTGTGAATCTCAACCCAAACTACTTACCCAATTGGGCTAGCATCCAAAGCTTTCCTCACCCTTCCATGGCAACCTCATCACACAACCTCACCGTTCAAAAATCGCGGAACTCATAACCTCCGTTCACCGACATCCGCTTACCTGTACCAAAGAGGAAGATTCAAGATGGATCCTCCACCGGAGCCTCCCAAGACTCCTCCAAACAAATTTCCTGACCCCCCAACACCTCGCGAAAAGACACCCCCACCCAGGATTTCTTGCGACATCAACACCCGTGATGCCCAAGGCCCATTCTACTGGGAGTATCGTAACAAAGGTCCGGACTTCGAAGTTCCTCCTTTGAAGGGAGGTGATTTTGAAGAGCGTCCGACTCTGGAGGAGTGGGCGGACAAGCTAGGATACAAGTAAGCTCATGGCGGTCCAAAACCCAGCACTCACTGACATACCACCCAGGTTGCCATCCGGAGAGTCCGTGTTATCTGGGAGGCCTGATCCATCCAAGCTAAAACCCGGAGCTAAGCTTCCACCATCCATTGAGGAAATTGATCACCTTCTGAAGAAGGGCGACGAACATCCAACGTGAGGTTTTCCACATTGCGAAATCCACCACTCCACTGACGTATGGCACAGGTCCATATCTGGAAGGTCTCCCACTTCAGAGCCGAAATCAATGCCAGGAGCTTTACTCAATTTGGCCGAAGGTCTACAGGAGAAGGCTGACAGCAAAGTTCCAAAGTAAGCTCATGATGAACCCGAACTTCACCGCTCACTGACGTACCCCGCAGGCCGTCATCTGCAAAATCCGATAAACCGAAGGTAGAACCTGGAGCTATGCTTCCACCTCCCCTCAAAGCGCCCGGAGGCCCGCAGAAGAAGGCGGACAAGCAAACTCCCAAGTAAACCCACACCAAGCCTGACCTCCACCACTCACTGACATAACACGCAGGCCTTCACCAGAGAAGTCCAACAAATCGAAGCAAGAGGGAAGAGGAATGTCCCAACGTCTGCTCAAAGGTGCGGCTCGTCTCCAGGAGATGGCGGACGTGGCAAATCCTCAGCAAGCCGAGGAAGACCGCGCCAAGGTCTTCATGGACCGTCTACCCCACGTTCAAGCGGCCTCTCGTCGTCTGCAAGGTCAACTCGGGATCCACGGTGATGAGACCTGGCCCCTGCCACCACCGCCAATCGATCATAATCCCTTCCTGGTCGAAATGAACGCAATAAAGATCCGCGCTGCATTGGAGAATTGCAAGGACTTTGCCGTGACCATCGACCGTGAGTCGGACAAAATGGAGCTTCTTGATGTTGTCGCGATGTCTGGTCAGAAGCGCGTGGTGATGCAAACTGGTCAAGCCCCGGAGATCAAGCTTACTTCTTTCGAGGATGAGAAGAAAGCTAGAGAGACCGAGCAGTCTAATGCCATTGCACGTATGATGGACGAAGGTCGTCAGGAGGAGTTGAAAGAACTTGAAGATGAAGGCATGAGTGGTAAGTCTGGCGAGGCTTTCAACTTCAAGCATTGCTGACCAAACTTCAGAGGTTCCATCAACTCCAAAATCCTTGTTCCATAGCGTTGGTTCTTCCCTGGCGCCTACCGCCCCTCAAACCAGCCAAGGAAGCAATACAGCAGCAAGTGAAGGCGAGGAATCGCTCTCGGCCTCTCAAGGAGACAGCTCAGTGGATACCGCAGAGCGCGAACGGCGCGAGGAGTGGGAAGAACTCACGAGAGACCCTCGTTTCGTTGGTATCGGACCATATGGAGAGCCTGAGTATGATGGCCCGCCAACGCCGGATCCGGCGAATAGCTCAGACGCCACTGGTGCCACCCCTAATCCGAACCATGACTCTGAGGGGAACTCGATACCCCATAACACGCCGACGGCCAGCAATGACGACCGAGAGATGCGCACGTCATCATACGCGACTGGAACTGCCAGCGCTGATTCCGAACATATCCCGGCTGACCTTACTCCTCCCAGCCGAGAGCTTGGGGCTCTCTCCGTCCATGACAGTGAAGTAGGAGGGACACAATCCGTGATCGACGAAGCCATAGCTGTTCTCAACGCTCAAGACAAGGGTAAGGGCAGAGAGACAAGCCCTGGTGTTGATGAGACGATGTTGGACGGTCCTCGGGCTCAAGATAAGGGCAAACGGCAAGAGACAGGCTCAAGCGTTGGAGACAACTCTGCGTACGCTTCTCAGACTCAACAGAAGGACAAAGCCAAGCAGATGATCTCCGGGTCCCGCGACACCGATATAGACGACGGTGAAGAGCGTCACGGCAAGATGAAAGGCTCGAGCGGAAAACAGCTCGACGTTGCAGCGAGCCTTCGTAACCATTTGGTCACATTCCTTGATGAGAGCCAGCCCAAGACTAAGGAGCGTAACCCACCCGTCCCTCAGCCTCAGAGCATGCCCAATACCTTGACGGAAGCGATCTGCAGCCATATGCCACTGGAAGCTAAACCAATCCTTACGCTGACTCTCGAGCGCATCGATCCCCCCATACCATCTCCAACAGATCAACGATGTGTCCTTCTCAAACACTTTGAGGTTGGTCTGGATGGAGTCGAAGGTCTTTGTCAAGGCACAGCAAAGATCCCAGAGACTCCACTTCAGACTGCCGAACGCGAGAGGCGCGTTGGGAAGCTGGGAACATTCAAGCAAGGGCATGGAGGCTTTTATAGATCGTTGAGGAGCGCACAGCAAAAAGACCAGCAGTATGGCAAGGGCTACTGGTACTTTTTCGGAGTGAAGTTCAAGCAAAATAGCAGGGAACGAAAGCTGAGGAGGGGTGGAAAGTGGCTTGTCTTTGGTGCGCCGATCGAAGCGGTCTATCACCTGGACATAAAGAGAAGTCAAGAAAATGTGACTGTCCTGCTCGGCGGAGGGGTGGACAAGTCTGGCACCGCGATCAAGCCGTTCAAAGCCAACTTCAAACGTACGCACACTCTTTTCAGCAGAGGCGGTCTAGCTCCCATGGACATCTGGCCAGGTGGAGAAGATTGGGAGGATGGGGTGTTCAAGGATATCAGGGCGGCAATGGCAAACAATGGACTCCGAGTCGGCTTCCTTTACGGAGACACCCAGACCTTTGCTCCCCTGCCAAAGGGCTTCCCAGCCGCCGGCAAGTTTCAAGCAGAAAAGAAGCGCAAGGAGTCCGGGGCCGAGATGACAGAGGAAGAGATGAAAGCCATGGAGAAGAGCATGAAGCCCAAGCAATTGTCGGCCGAGGACATCGGTACTATTCTTGCGATGAGCGTCATCAACGACCGGGCCAAGCAGGACGCAGCCGCGCGTTCAAAGTAACGCAGCAAGGGGACACGTACCTTTGCAACTACACCGACCACGTCGAGGTAGCTTCTACAGACACCAGCATTGAGGATCAATAGGCAGATAGCGTGAGAACAGATGCAAAATTCCTCTAACAGACTCGAAAGTAACTGCGGTCATCTCTCGCTTGAAGTGACAATACTACGTGTAGAGCTTAATATATATCAACCAAGCGTGGAGATGAGTATGGTTCACGGAGAAAGAGTGCATGAGTGGAGTTTGACGTTCCGCCCCACCAGCCCTACACTATCGAGACAATAGACTTTTCTCCAGGCTCAAGAGAGCTTGGCGCGCTTGACATTGGCCGTCTTCCGCTCCCACCACTCCCGTAAGGCGGCGATGATCCACCGCCTGTAATGGAGACGGTCTTTCTCATCTCATCATAGTATGTAAGTTATTTGATAATGACTCTATTTGATATCGAATCTCTGTCTGACATATCTCGTAGAGGCATCCGTTTCCTGTCGGAGAGTAACAACGACCTTCGCGGCCGGAGTTCCTTGCTCAGCACGTATCGTTCCCTACTGAACGGCCACTAGACCGCCTCCTCTCTACAAAGCATCAAGGATGATATTCACATAGAGAGCGTCGGCGACGAACTTTCCCTTCAGCGCGAATGAGAGGGCAAATGTTTTTGAGATAGGTCGACAAGATCAGCGGTCGTCTTCGTTGAGTATCATTTGGGTAACGGGAAAAATGGTTACAAATCAGGGGAAGAGGACGCGTACCTCCTTTGGCCTCTACATCCTCGGTCGGTCTTCCGGTGCCGGCACCGTGATCACGAGGTTTCTTTACTTTTGCCTAGGCATTGAACTACGTCTGCAGGTGCCTTGATGGTTGGTGGTTTCGAGATCGTATCGATCCCTACTGAGAATTTCGATGCGTTGACAACGTCATCAACGATAGTCGCACTGTCATGATCGGAAAAGTATTCGTCGCCCAGTGATGTGACGGCCGCAGAATACTTCTTCGATGCTGTTGTCACGACTCGGAGGCCGCTTGCTACTGCAATTGGAATTGCAGAACTGCCTACAGATGAGCTGCCTCCCAAAATTATTGCCTGGCCCGTGGGCTGTACGCCGTTGCAAGGCAAGGGAAGCGCGAGGAAGTCTGACTAGTACAAGCACAATGGCCTGAGCGAAGGATAGCGAGTCAGGAAGGGGGCGCGACCGTGATGTCTGGGAGGACAGAGTCGAGCTAGAAGCCTCCTTGTTTCGAGGCGCTTGTACCGATGCCTATGCAGTGTCTGGTCGAGGCTGTGGTGTTTACTGCAATGGTGCGGGCGTAGATGCTGCGATAGGGGTTCTAACCCCATCACCCGCTGGCCTTTCTGGATCCCAGTGACGCCACCGCCAAATTGGACGACTTGACCTGCTACGGCGGCTCCGACAATCTGACATAGATGAGACTGAGTTGGAAAGGGGATGAGATGAAGACTGGGTACAGTGAGATACGACTGAAAGATAAGGTCGAAAGTATGGATCTTCCAACTGACTCGAGGGGCAAGGCGTAAGGATCTTCATGTTGCGCCGGCAGGGCATCATAGCGAACAACTGACTCTGATATACTGCCCAGGTCGCATTCTTAAACGTCAACTTTCAGGGGGGGTTTGGCTCCAGGAAGCGATGCTGATTGATAAATCATGATGAAAAATAACATCGAGTTTTGACTTTTCAAAAGAAGACTACTTGAGTACGTTAGATGACTCGGCTTCAACAAAGGTATACGTAATAGGACGAGAAAGCATTTCGAGTCTGCTTGCGTGACATGTTGAAATGTAAGAAGTAAGAGGTAAGAAATAAGATATAAGAAGTCAAACCTAACATGTGAGATATGAAGTGTAAGAAGCGGATACATGATGCAAGACGATTAATGATACTGATATATCGCGGACGTTACTTAGGGTCCGAATAGGCCGAGATGGCGGTCTGAGAATATGAGGGAGAGGGAACGGGAATTCTCAACACTCATCTTATCCCATTATGCCGTCATGCATGTACACCCCTCAGATCGGGTTAGTGTCCGCGCTAGATCTAGGATCTGTTTTAATACTTTTGAAATATTTCAAAATACAGCTACTTTTAATATGCATTGAAAACAGTCCTGCACACCCTTCACTACTCGACTAGTCGGATCCCTTCTTTATGAAACTTAGTCAGGACACAGTAACCTCAACATGCAGCAAAAATAATCCCTCACAATCTAACAGGTATCTCGGGATTGACATTCCCGAGCACTTTCTCACCCAGCTAAAAACATAAACAAAGAAAGCATGATACGCTTAAACATAGACTTCAACATCCGCTGGCACGACCATCTCAACGCCTTCACCCATAACACAACATTGTACCTTTCGACGTCGACTTACACAAACATCTTCCCCACCTTCACCCAAATACGACCATGTTGCCAAATACCGCATAGGACCACATTGTTAAGGACACTCACCGCTCACCGCAACGAAGGATGGACACAACGAAGCCCCACACCAAGTACCGAGCCTCCTGCGATGGGTGCTATCTTGCCAAGCTGAAATGCACAAAAGAGAGGCCGATATGCCCTCGCTGCAAGAAGCTAGGCTTAACATGCACTTATAGTCCATCTCAAAGAACGGGCAAGCGTCGTGCGCCAAAGTCCCAGGCGTCATCTTCAGGCTCAACAACGACAACGACAACACCAACAAGCCCGGCACCATCATCCTCAGGAGTCTTGGAATGGCAGCCGGCTGCATCCTCTCAGGCCAGTACCATGGTGCCAACAGAGACTCTGGCACTACCCTTCGAAAAGGCCTTTTTCGCACCAAACAATGACCCCCAACAATCCCCAATGGACGCGACAATGTCGAATTGGCCTAGTCCAGCGAACGCGTTACAAGACTTTGATTCGGACCTCCTCGCCCCCTGGCGCGGATGTCTGCCTAGTTCAGAGAAAGATGATCCTCTGTTCGAAACCTCAGACGATTTTGTAGACGATTTCATTAGCATGACTGCACTACCTTCCCACCAACAGTCCTTCAACGCAACGAACGGGGCACTCAGCCACATTCTCCAGACCTGCAACTGCTTCGACTCCATAACCCAGATCCTGCAAAAGGTGCACAATCAATCGCGACGGTCCAGCAATCCCAACCTCGAAGCGACGTTGAGCTGCAGCAAAGAAGTGACCGCTCGGGGCGAGGCATTGCTGAATTGCACATGTACCGAGGACAGCACCCTCGTCATGCTCTTCGCGGCCTTGGTGGCAAAATACCTATCGCTATATGCCGCCCACATCGACCTCACCTCTTCCTCCTGGACATTCCTCGCTGACATCTCCGCCGCCTCCTCTCGCGTCACGATTGGAGGATACACTATGGATGCGGAGGACGAGGAACGGTTGCGGATAGAGATTGTACTGATGGAGCTGCAAAAGTTGAATACACTGTTGATGAAGTTTCAAGGCAAGTTTTCGTCGTCGGAAATGGGCTATGAGAGCCATACGTATGAGACTATGGTTGCTTTCTTGAATATGAGACTGAGGGAGGCGATGGACAAGCTGCAGCGACAGAAGCAGAGATACCAGCCCCCCTCGTAGCAGCAAGAAGGCCATGTAGTCGGCAAGTCGACGTGAGAGGGGTCTGTAGGCTTGGTGCTGTCGTGGACGCTGCTCCAAAAAACAATACGCCTCTGCTGGCCCTGCGGCAATGATTGTACATTCAGACACTGCCAACCTTTCCATCTCAGAGCAGGTGCTTTCGATGACTCAACTGCAATAAGCTCGCTTTCTTCGAACTCTTCCAGTGCAACCTCAATTAGATGAAGGCTCTTTAATGCTGAGAAAAGTTCCCCGGTGTACGACGAGATAACAGGTCATTTTGACGGGTAAATTACAAATTCATACCCCAAAACCTTGGATCCTAAATTCATACCCCTAATTACATTTTCATACCCCTCCACCAAATCTTGGGGTATGAAAATGTAATTTACCATTCTTTGGGGTATGAATTTGTAATTTATTAAACTACGTCTTTAAGTGCCCGGCACTTAACGTCCCTAAAGAAGCCCCGGGAGCCTTAAAAAGCCCCTAGAAAATTGAACCCTAAATTTATCGCGGATTGGGGTGAGTTGGGGATTTAAGAGCTCGCCTCAGCCCCGGAGCGAGATTTCGACGAGTTACACGGCGAACCCTAGAGGTCTTCAGTTCGGGGCTCCCGGGGCCGGTCCGGCCTGATTTCGCAACCCCCGAAGACCTAACCTCAGCGCACTATGGTAAATTACATTTTCATACCCTAAGGAATGGCAAATTACCGATTCATAAAATTAGGGGTATGAATTTGTAATTTACCCTCATTTTGACTCGTACGAACCCTGCACTTCGTAATAGGGCTGCACGAATTCCTCGAGACACGGCTCGTTGTACACGTGTTTGGCACGGTACGGTCCGTGAATGGGAGTTCGGGCTTGTCTAAGGGTTTGAGATGCGGGCGATGGGTTGGCTAGCCTTTGGAGTGTCGAAAGGGGCCCACTAGTAGTTCGGGAATGGTTGAACGGAACAGTTCTACTATGTGAGTAGCAAAGGATATAGAATCTATGAAAGCCTACGGCAGCAGGATATTTATTGTTGGTTTTGACGGCTTATGGCCATTAGCCACGGCTTATGGCCATTAGCCACAATGTGGCTGGGGGCTACAGCCATATAGCCATGGGCAAACATAGCCATGGGTAATATAGCCATGGGCAACAGTAGCCATGGGTGACATAGCCATTGGCAACAGTAGCCATGGGTGACATAGCCATTGGCAACAGTAGCCATGGGTGACATAGTTATTGGCAACAGTAGCCATGGGTAACATAGCCATGGGGAACAGCCATATAGCTATGGCTATGGTGTGCCAGGGTAATCAGTCCACTTGGCGCATATGTGGAACTAACACGCCTGGAAGGCTGAGATGTATCCCCCGAAGTGATCCGATTTACTATGGGCCACAAGCCGAAATCGGATGACTCGAAGGGACGAATCTTTAGTGATTTGGCAAGCGACTTTTTGCATTTATATTAGGCCTATGCCCACTGCATAAAGTTCTTTCCTTATGTTCTATCTATCTATATATGCGATCTATTTATATAGCATTCATATATAGCCCTAGCCCTAATTGTATTAGACATAGCCTATTATATTATTAATAGGTTATAAGCCCGATTAGCCATTAATCGAGATTTTAGTCTTTCGCTATATCTACTTATTATTACTATAACCTCTCTAAATATTAGAGAATATAGCCGTCTCGAGAATTCCGCCGAAGAATACTCGGAGATAGAACTATAGTAGGCTAAGAAACGAGATCGTTTATTCGCTAAATAGACTATTAGAATCGATATAGATATAATATTAATATAGGTATATTAAATAAGATAACTAAGATATCGAACTATATAGATGAAAAGAAGGTATAATATAATAGGAAATATCTTCGTTAAGGCTCGCTAGCTATAGGACTAAGAAATATATTAAGAATACGCTCGTAATACTATTCCCCTTCTTCGTTAAATTATATTCTATAATTAATAAGTGAAAAGATAGAAAAATAAGTATATATATACGCTTAACGTCTGAAAAATAATAAAAGTAGTAAAGAAATAATCGTATCCGGGAACCCTAGCATCGTACCTTTCTTCGTTAGAGATATTAGAGACGATAGTAGCTTTTTATATTTACGCTATAGCGACGTCGCTAGCCGAGATATATACGTATATAGAGAGTCTAGTTAAGAGAAAATCGATATAATATAACGAAAACTATATCTATAAACGTAGATATAAATAATAGTAATTTCCGAATTCGTATTTAAGCGGATAGAATATTAGTAAAATAATACGATATAATTAATTAAGAGTTTCTAAATCGAATCGAGTCGTAAGCGCTAAAAACTCTAATTTAATATCAAGTAATTTTAATATAGTCTTCTCTATAGTATATTATTTAGCTAATATTAATTATATTTTATAATAGCGATAACGTAATCTATATATATATTAATATAGCTTCGAAAGATCTTTAAAGTTATTAAAAAGCTTACTTTCTCTCTAGCTTAAGAATAAAATTACTTCTATATTAAGCCTCGCTATAAGACTATTCTAGAAAACTCTTATCTTATTAGAAAGTAACTAAGAATTTAGTAAGTCTTAACTAAGAATATTAATTTCTTCTCTAATTTTCTCTATTTCTCTCTATCTCTATTTCTAATATGTCTTAATTAATTCTTAACTTTAGCCTCGTATCCTCTATAGCTCGACGTACTGCAAATCGATATTAAAAGAATCATCAAAAACAAAATACCGAGCGCGCTCTCTCATAGTTACACTCTTAAAATCAGCTACGATCTTAGAGAAAAGCTTAAAGTCGATAATAACGTCGATTACCTTCGTGCGATACAGGTATCGCATTATAATCTTAATCTCAGCCTACGATATCTTAAAATCTTTCTTAAACTACTCTCGAAGGTATTAATTCTATACGTATTATCGAGACGTAAATAGATATCTTTAAGCTCGGTACTTCAGATCCCGATATTAAACGCCCTATATTCGATATTTATAATATATATCTCGGCGCTCTGAAACGCGTTTACGGAAAAGTCGAAATAAGTTATTTTCATCTTTAACGAGAGGTTGTCGAGGATTTATGTGATGATCTCGTATATTAAATACGTCTTTAGAAAGAGCGATTCTTATAAGAGCCTATTAGTATAGAATTATAAGACGCCTTAGATTACGTATTTCACGTTATGAAAGATTAGTATATAACGGCCGATTAGCCTTAAATTAAGGATTAACTTAACTTCGAGACTTTATTATATATAGCGATTCGGTATAAAGATCTTAAGACTATTTATAACATCTGCAAATCTGAAAAGTTTCTACAAAATTTGAAATTGCTAATCGCGCGTGTGTCGCGGAAATTACAAAATTCGTTAGATTAGTAAATCTAATTAGAATTCGCCTAAATTCCGCCGATTTAGTAACTATTCTAATCTTTTCCGTTAATTCTATTAATTTAATAATAATACGTATAAAAAAAAAAAGTTTTAATAATCGATATTACGACGATAAGATTCTACGATAATAAGTATTAACGTTAACTTAAATTTAGCTATAGAATTAGATAATTTAATAAAATTAATCGCGTAGATAATACTCTAATATAGCGTATAATAATATATATATTAATAATAATATATATTAATATTATATATATATAGAATAGTACTTAAAGTATATTAAAGTATATTACGTAAAAATTTTAAAGTTATTAAAAATTTTTTAAAGTTACTAAACTAGTAGAACTAACGAAAAGAGTTAAATATAAATAAAGTCTATTAAATAGATTAAATTATACTTATAATACGAACTCGGCGTAAATCGTATAAAAATTTACTTTTCAAATTTATAGATAAAGTAACTTCGATTTATAATTAATAATCGTTATAAGAAATTTCTTTAAAGAAATTATAGTTATAATCTTAACGAAGCGAATAATCTTATATCGATCTTAAAATAAGTATTATAAATAATTTCGAGCTTACGAGAACGGCCCCTCCGGTAGAAGCCTTCGAAGGGTTCTCGAAGAGCTTTCGAAGGGTAGAGAGGTTTAGAGAATTCTCTCTTAATAGAATTAATACTATATAGTAGTAATCTTCTTAGTCTTCTTAATCTTCTCAGTCTTCTCAGTCTTCTCAGTCTTCTCAGTCTTCTTAGTCTTCTCAGTCTTCTCAGTCTTCTCAGTCTTCTCAGTCTTCTCAGTCTTCTCAGTCTTCTCAGTCTTCTCAGTCTTCTCAGTCTTCTTAGTCTTCTTATATTCTCGGCAAGTTTTCCACTACTGAGTAGCCCCGCGCCCTAGCACATATTATTAGCAACGGGGATCTACGCGGAAGGTTATATATAAGATAATTCCCGATTAATATAGATCTAAGGGATCGATTCTCGGTTTTAGAAAAAATGAGGCTATTATAAAGACATCGAACGATTTTAATTCGACTGAAAATGGAGTGTTTGAGGTAGTTCCGGCCCGAGAACGCTATCGCTATTGAAGGCCCCTCGCCCTAATTTCTTTATAGATAAGACTCTTCGAGATATCGCTTATGAAAGTCGTTTACCAGATTCTAGCAATTTTCGAATTCACCGCCGTTCGTATTATATTAGTTGAGGTTATTATCGAGATTTTCCCACTTAACTTTATACTTAAAACGGCTATAGATTAATTTAAAGCTAAGTATTTCTTTAATAATCTATTCGATTCGATTATTAATAGTAATATACTTCGGCGAAGAGTTTATCTACTCTAATAAGAAGTTATTTACTATAAGATTTAAGAGATTAAGATAAAAGACGTCGTAGATTCTTATAATTAGCGAAAGTTTTAGATAATATAAGATTCTTATAAGATCTATAATCTCGAATAAATTAAGTCTCTTATAGTTTAGTTTGCGGGAAGGGCGATTAAAGATAATATTCTTACTATTTAAAAAGATCTTATCGTCTATTTAAAAAGTAACCTTTTATTAATACTTATTAGCTTATATTATTAGAATTAGTATAGATGCGATATTAGTATAGGTGAGATAGAACTAGAATAATAAGGCTATCGAACTATGTAGGTAGGAAGAAGGCATGATATAATAGGGGATGTCTCCGCCAAGGCCCGCTAGCTATAGGGCTGAGTGGTGAGTAGTGTGTCAAGGGTACGCTCGTAACACTACCCCCCCCTCTCAATAGCCATGGCCCCCATGGCTGGTAGACCGGAGATGCACGCCCATTGCTTGCCCTGTGTCTCCAAACATCCATAGTCCGTGTAGGCCTCGACCGGAGAAGATTTGCCGAGGTGTAGTGGTAGTAGTCGAAAACATCGGATCGCATGCTGGTCTTGACTGTGCCATCCATGCCTGCCATACCCACATTGTCCTGCAGAGATCCTGGAGATATTGGCCATATCTTGCCTGCGTGCCAGCAAGATTCTCCGAGTTCTTCTCCTTGTCCAGTCTTCTTGTCATAATCCTTCGATAGAATTGAAGAAAATCCAACGCATGCATGTGTCATGAATCCACCTCCAACACCCGTTGGCAGCCTGGCCTGGGAGCTGCACTGTAGATTTGCCCTGTGTCTCCCATGCTCTTGCCATCAAAAATCCATTGCATCCTTTGTCTCAACTCGTAGCTATCTTGCTTGGTAGTTGTCCACTGCATCCATCCGCTTTGTAAGCCTACCGCTTCGACTGCCGATCCCACGTACCCGCTTCGACTGCCAGTACCCCGTAGGCCTACCCGTCCTAAGCTGCCAGTCCCATGTATCCGTCCTAAGCTGCCATAGCGAGTACTCAGCAGCCAATGACCTGACTGACGTAGATGACTCCCGTAACTCAAGCACTTGTTGATTCGTGGGATTTGGTAAGAAGATAGGGAAAGAATCGAATGTGTTGAATGTCATTTGGTAGCAGGCTCACTATGTAAATGCCGCATATGCCCTTGTAGCAGGCTCACTATGTGTGTTATCGACATGCTTAGTGAAGAGGTCGAATCGAGTCGTTTCGGGGCTGTTCCCGTCGCTATTGCAGCAGGCTCACTGTGGTGGGGTGGTGTTGTCTGTCAACTTCTTTGTGATTCGCTTGCAGTACGAATGGTCCAGCGGTGCTTTATCCCTCCTACTGTCCAGAGGCCGTTCCGTTATACCGAAACGAATTACCCGTTTAGTGGACTAACTTAAGGATACGATGCCTCAAGTTCCTATCTTAACCTTAATCGGTCGTAATATCTTGATCTTAAGTTAGTATCTTAACAAAGCCCTTATCAGCGCGTTTATTTATTAATTATTTATCCGCTAATTCGAATAGGCGTGAGTGTGCGTTAATTGGCCCGTATATATTTCTCTTTATCGAGTGTATAAAGGAGCCTTATTATAATATCAGGACTAGCATAGATGCGATATCAGTATAAGTGAGATAGAACTAGAATAATAAGACTATCGAACTATATATGTGGGAAGAAGATATGATATAATAGGGGATACCTCCGTTAAGGCCCGCTAGCCATAGGACTAAGTAGTAAGTAATATATTAAGAATACGCTCGTAATTTATATAACTATAGCCTTCTAAGCGCGATCTATATTACTTTAAATATATTTAAGAACTTATTTCATATAGTTCGTAATATCCTTCGCCTAAGTAGTATTAAGACGCTTATATATAATCTTATAGTCGATAGTATTTAAGCTAAAAGTTATTCGAGAATAAAACTTCTTATTCGCGAGGAAAGATGAAATATTAATAGTCGATAAGATAGTATTATTATTAACGAACTCGATAATAGATAATTATCTTATTTAGTTATTCTATATATAGTTATAGTATATTTAAAGATAACGCTTTATATTCTAATTCGCTTATTTAATCTATTTATCGATTTTAGAATAAAAGGCTATTAATAGCTTAACTATAATATCTAGTCTCTCGTAAAAAGACTTTTATATAATAGCTATGAATTAAAAGTCTTAATTCGATATTATTAAGATCGATAGATTATATAAGCGAAATACTTCTTTAAGTAGTAAGTTAACTATCTTCTTAGCGATAATATCTTTATCGATATTAAAATAAACTATATAGTAATATTTCTTAATAAGCTAATCGATCGCTATCTAAATAGCGTTATAGTTATTAAATATAGATAAGTCTATAACGAAGTCGACTAATATATCTTACTATTATTTCTATAAGATTAATAGAAATTATAGTAAATTATACTTTCGATCGCGAGATATTTTAATTCTTTAATAGATATAGTAATTCTTAACGTAGATAGCTACGATAGCCCTTATATCTCGCTAATAATATTTTCTTTTAAGTAATTTATAGATATATACTATTTCGAAATAGTCGTAGAATAATTAATTATATATCTCTTAAATAATATCGATATATATATTATTAAATACTTATATATCTATAAATCTAAAAAGTTCCTTTTCGTACGATTTTCGTCGAGTCTATATTATAAGTATAATTTAGTCTATTAAGTAGACTTTATTTATATCTAATTCTTTTCGCTAGTTTAGTAATTAAATATAATAAACTTCGCGTTTAATAAGTTAAGATAGTATTTATTCGAGTTAGCTAGATTTTAAAGCGACTATAAGCTATTAATTTAATAGTATATATCTAAAAATTCGAGAAACTATACGTAAGATAGGTTTTTTAAATTATTCGAGTTAAATAATATTATTAATAATAATAATATCTATTAAAAATTTAATTTAATTAATTAAATATATATTAAGAAGATTTTCGAGATTATTCGAGCTAGATAGTATTACTAATTATAATAATATTTATAAAAATTCTAGATTAACTAATCTCGCTAGTAATATTAATATTTATAGCGTATTCGAATTAAACGATATCGCCGATTATAACGACGTCTCTAGAGTATTTAATTTAAATCGAACTCGATACCTCTAAGCATCTAATAAAAGTTATTAATTTAAGATTTATCGCGATATCTTATCGTAATATTAATAATATTTATAATCTCTAAAATATAGATTTTTAAATAATTAAAATTTTAAGCGCTATAGCGGTGCTTAATCCTTTATTAATTCTTATTTAATTCGCCTAGTAAATAAAGAGACTAACCCTCCCTATTCTATTTACTACGCTATATATTCTTTATATTTTTCCTCTCTATTTAATATAACTTTATTAATTTATAAATACTTATTCTCTTCGTAAATCGTTTTTTCTCTTATTTACTATAGTAAAGCTATAAACGATATATTAAAGTTTAACCTTTTTTATCTATCCTCCCTACTTATCGAGATATAAAGTATTTATATTTTAAGCTTAGAGAGATTCGAGTTCTAATTATTATTTATTAAATCAATTTCTTTCTATTTAGTTATTTTATATATTAATTATTTCTTAATAACTCGCGAGATCTTCTCGTTATCTTCGAGTAAATTTAAATTTAACCTCTTAAATAATTTAGTATTAATAAACCTTAATATAACTTCTCTTAAAGCGCTTATAAAGTTTAATTCCTCGATAATATTATCTAGCGAATTCTTATATAGATTATTTAATTTAGAGGGTTTTTATACCTTTCTTATTAATTTAAAATATATCTCTAGAATACGCTATCGTAATATATAATATATAATAAGTCTTTTCTATTATTTTATATCTCTTTAAAACTTCTTAATATACTCGTATATTTCTAAGAAGTATTATAATTATATAAGTAGTAAAATAATATATCTATAAATCTAAAAAGTTCCTTTTCATATAATTTTCGCCGGGTTCGTACTATAAGCACGATTTAGTCTATTTAGCAGACTTTATCTATATTTAATTCTTTTCGCCGATTTAGTAACTATTCTAACTCTTTCCGCCAGTTTTATTAGTTTAATAACTTTAAAAAATTTTAGTAACTTTAAAAATTTTACGTAATATACTCTAATATACTCTAAGTACTATTCTATATATATATGACATTAATATATATTATTATTAATATACGCTATATTAGAGTATTACTTACGCGACTAATTTTATTAAATCGTTTAATTCCGTAGCTAAATTTAAGTTGGCGTTAATACTTATTATTATAAAATCTTATCGTTATAATATCGATTATTAGAACTTTTCTTTTTTTATACGTATTACTATTAAATTAGTAGAACTAGCGAAAAAGATTAGAATAGTTACTGAACCGGCGGAATTTAAGCGAATTCTAATTAGATTTACTAAATCGATAGAATTTAAGTAGATTCTAATTAGATTTACTAATCTAACGAATTTTATAATTTCCGCGATAAACGCGCGATTAGCAATTTCAAATTTTATAGAAACTTTTCAAATTTGTAGATGTAATAAAGAGCTTACCTTTAACTTTCTTATTATTTTATCTTTTAATATAAAAATATCTAGAATTATAGTTCTTTAAATTATAATAAAGAGCGGTTACTATAAAAATTATAGTATTATCGAATAAGAGTAATTAAAGATATTTACTTCTTTATTTAAATTTAAGAGATACTCTCTTACTATAGAAGAAAATTTTATATAACGATATAATTATTAATTAAGATAAGAAGTATTTCTTATTTTAAAGACTATTAGCTAAAGAAGCTAATTAATCTAAATTTCGTAAAATATATTATATTCTATCTATTTTATAAATCTCGATATATAAATTAAAGATCGATTAATAAGTCGCTAATTATCGTTTTTAAATCTTTAAATAACGATATTATATAGATTTTAAGATAAGATTAAATAATATCTCGAATTTTCTTTATTAGAGTTAAACGAAAATTGTCTATATAGTTAAAAAGCTATATTCTCGTTAGAAAGAGCTTAAAGTATTAATAGTAATAATTAATTAAAGATATTAATATCTTTCTCGCCTCGAAATATATAGATTAATTATCGATACTTCGTATAAATCGAATACTCTTATAGAGTTACTATCTCTAATCTCTTTATATTTTAATTATTACTTAATTAAGCGCGTTAATATAATACTTTAATTAGAAACTTAGCTCTTAAAGATCTAGATATTTAAGATCTTTATTAGTTATAATTATTATAAATAAGATAACTCTTATTATTTTAAATATATTAAGATACTCTTTTTTAATATTATAATTATATTTTTCTCGTTATATTAAATTATTCTAAAGCGCGATCTAACGATTATCTTTATTTAAGCTATCTTATAAAATATAATTTATATATCTTTCTTTATTCTAATCTATTAATAATATATAATTCGATATTATTAGAGACGCTAACGAAGCTTTAAATTTCTTTATTTTATTTAATAGATATATCGATAAGAGGTTTAAATAAGCTATATATTAATAACGCGACTTCGATATAATAGCGTTTAACGACTCTATTTAGCGTAATACTTTTTAATATCGAATTATCTATAGCGATTTAATTATTATTCTACTATATTTAAAATATATACTTATTTTTATATCGAAGTTTTATACGAAGTACTTTAACTTCGTTATTATAAAGGCGACTTCTC